GCACCCACATGGCAGCTCACAGCCGTCTGTCTGTAACCATCTTCTGGTTACCAGGCACACATGCGGTGCTGGAGTCATGCATACAGGCAGAACACCATATATATAAAATAATAATGACAATGATCAGAGAAAGAACATCCAACATGTAAAAACCCAGCAATTTATCTTATTTATTTTTTCAAGATTCATTTATTTATTACATATGCAGTGTTCTGTCCACATATATGCCTACAAGCCAGAAGAGGGCACCAGATCTCATTACAGAGGGCTGTGAGTCACCACGTGGTGGCCGGGAATTGAACTCAGGACTTCTGGAAGAGCAGTCAGTGTTCCTAACCTCTGAGCCATCCCTCCAGCCCCAAACCCTACAATTTATAACAGTTTCAAAGAAAAACAAATATTTAGGTATATTTAACAAAACATATATGGGTTGGACCTATATAATAAAAGAAATCAAAGAAAGCCTAAATAATGTTAGAAACCATGTATATAATGGATTGGAACACAATGTGCCAAACAAACATGGCACATTTCCTAAAATGCTGCAATTTTCTCAAACGTCTAAGAAGTGTGTTTGTTTCTTTGTTTGTTTTTGAGACAGGGTTTCTCTGTGTAGCCCTGGCTGTCATGGACTTGGATCTGTAGACCAGGCTGGCCTTGAACTCAGAGATTCCCCAGAATTCTCAACTTCTTGTTAAATGCAGGCCCTCATCTAATAAACAGCCACACAGTCTCCTTTAGTGGTGTTTGAAGTTCCAACATAAATTAAATTTGACAATTGAAAACTGTCCCTAACCTCTTTATAATCCTCCTGCCTCAGCTTCCTCAGTCTGAATTGATCTCTAACTGGTTAAAAAAAAAAAGTTAACTAACATATCACTGCATAGAATCTAAATAGTCAAAAATACTGGTAATCAAATGCTAGCAAGAATATGGAGAACCTGAGTAGTTCCTACATCGCTGCTGGAATGGCAGTCTGGGCACACCTACACCTTTAATCCTAGCACGTGGGAGGCAGAGGCAGGTGAGCTCTGTGAGTGTGAGGCCAGCCTGGGTTGTATAGAGTTCCAGGCTACACAGTGAGACCCTGTCTCAAAAAAAAAAAAAAAAAAAGGACAGGCTAACAATGGGGAAAAAGCCTTCCCAACTATACATTAGAAGGGATAAGTATCTAGAATCCATTAAGAACTGCAAAAAAAGTAAACACCAAAACCAAAGCATCCTATCAATAAATGGGCTAATGAACTGAACACACTCTTCTCAAAAGAAGAAACAAATGACTAGTATTTGAAAAGTGTTCGACATCCTTAGTTATCAGGGAAATGCAAAGGAAAACTGCTTTGCAATTCCATTCACCCCATAGGATGGCTAGCATGGCAACAAACACCAAATGCTTGTGAGGACATGGGGGAAGGAATTCTTCCACACACTGATGGCAATGGAAACTGGTGTAGCCACTACAGAATCAGTATGGAGGTGCCCCAGGAAAGCACAAATAGAACTACCATATAAGCCAGCTACACCACTCACTCCCCAGTATATAACCAAAGGACTCTACATCCACAAACCACGGCGACAGAGGCATGCTCCTGTGAGATCTGCGCTACCACTCACAACAGCCAAGAAAAGGAGTCAGTTTAGGTCCATCAGCAGATGGACAGATGAAGATAACGAGGCACATCCACACAACGCAATTTTATTTAACCATAAAGAGAGGTGAAATCATGACATTTTGCAGGAGAATGGGTACAGAAGGAATTCTGCTGGGAGAGTGCTTGCCTAGTTCACATGAAGCTCGGGCTGCTCTCAGCCCTGCATGAACCAGGCAGGTGGAGAAGGCCTGGGATCCCAGCAGTTGGGAAGTGGAAGCAGAGGTTTAATGTCACCCTTGGCTAATCAAGGAATTCAAGACTAGCTGGGTTACATGAGAGTCTGCCAAAACAAACAAACAAACAAAACCACTTAGGTGTTGAAATGAAACCTGAACAGGTAATTGAAATGTAAATGTTGAAATTTTGTGCTATGCACCACTTACAAGAATAAACAGGTATAATAATATACTTCTTGTTTTGGTTGACCATACAAGCAGATACAGATGGCATATCTGTAATCCCAGTACTCTGGAGGCAGAGAGAACTTAGAGGATCCCCAGTTCAAGGCTAGCCTGGGCTATAGAACGGAACCCCACTTTTTTTTTTTTTTTTGTTTTACGAGACAGGGTTTTTCTATGGGTTTTGAGACTGTCCTGGAATTCGCTCTGTAGATCCGCCTGCCTCTGCCTCCTGAGTGCTGGGATTAAAGGTAGTCTGCGCCACTACCACCTGGCAAAATGGAACCCCACTTTAAAAAACCAACACAAGGGTTGGAGAGATGGCTCAGTGGTTAAGAGCACTGGCTACTCTTCCAGAGGTCCTGAGTTCAATTCCCAGCAACCACATGGTGGCTCAGAAACATCTGTAATGATAGCCGGTGCCCTCTTCTGGCCTGCAGGCATATATGTAGACAGAATGCTGTATACATAATAAACAAATAAATCTTTAAAAAAAAAAAAGAGTGCCCGGGCGGTGGTGGCGCACGCCTTTAATCCCAGCACTCGGGAGGCAGAGGCAGGCGGATCTCTGTGAGTTCGAGGCTATGGTCATGGTGTTTCTTTACAGCAACAAAAAACTGATTTTCCTCTCAGAAGGCAGGGACTGGAGGTGGCTAATAGCAGTTCTCAGTCTGTGGGTCTTGGACCCTTTCACAGGGGCCACACAGGTATTTACATTATGATTCACAACAGCAGCAAAATTACAGCTATGAAGCAGCAATGAAATAGTATCGAGGCTGGGGACCATATTAAATTAAAGGGCTGTAGCAGGAGGAGGCTGAGAGCCACTGCACTCGGTGATCATGGTGCTATCTGTAGGGCCAGATCATACCAGGCTCCCTCGAGCAGAAGCAGATGACCTCTGTGCTATCTGTATGACCAGGACCACACCAGATGTTCCCCAGGCCCTTAGGATAACACATGTAGCCTATCTCTGAAACCATCTTCATGGAAGAAGTGACATGCACTTTGAGAAGAGTTCCCATGTAATTATGCCTCCTTGTGTTAGACCAGGAAATTTTTTTTCCAAATTGTACTATACTTAAATATGCCTAAAACAAACTGCCTAGTGTCAAGACTCCAGAAGCTGGGAACAACACTGGCTACTGAGCTGTGATGCTCACCTCACTCTGATCATTACTCTGCCGGCTCTGGGGTTTGTAGACCCCTACACTTTACTGAGCCAGGTATCACTCTAGCCCGTGATACATTTTTGGTTGTGAGCCTGAACCTTTAGCAAATAAGCTATCTCTTCAGTTACAATTCTGCATTTTTGAAGTCAATAATTCTTTTGGAATCCATGACCAGATGTCAAAGTATGTAGAAAAACTAGGCTAGGCGGTGGCGCACGCCTTTAATCCCAGCACTTGGGAGGCAGAGGCTGGCGATCTCTGTGAGTTTGAGGCCAGCCTGGACTATAGAGCAAGTTCCAGGACTATAATATAGAGAAACCCTGTCTTTTTTTTTTTTTTTTTTTTTTTTTTTTGGTTTTTCGAGACAGGGTTTCTCTGTATTGTTTTGGAGGCTATCGGTCCAGCCCAGCCTCGAACTCAGAGATCCACCTGCCTCTGCCTCCCAAGTGCTGGGATTAAAGGTAGGCGCCACCACTGCCCGGCGAGAAACCCTGTCTTGAAAAAACAAACAACCAAACAAAAGTAACAAGTAGCTGATGGTGGGTGAAACAGGCAAGTCAGGGCTTACCGAAGCGATAGAAGACAACATGCTTATAGTGAGACTGTGTCTCATAAAAAAAAAAAAAGCATTGTAAATTCCTATCTTGAAACATTCTTCTTGCATGTGTATATAACCGTGGAGTGGTAGCTTTGGTTTCCCACACTTTCCAAGATAAACTTGCTATCAGATGCCACAAGCCAACTTTAGGCCGGTGTCTCACTTAAAATGATCTCTCAAAGTGTTTAACAATCATTATTATAATACCTAAAGGAAGCCGGGCGGTGGTGGCGCACTCGGATCTCTGTGAGTTCGAGGCCGGGCTGGGTCGACAGCCTCCAAAACAATACAGAGAAACCCTGTCTCGTAAAACCAAAATAATAATAATAATACCTAAAGGCACTGATTGTTTCTACACTAAGAACCCTTTTTCTAACAGGTCAAGGTTAAAGATTTAAAATTGGAGGTTGTGGTTTGACCTCCAGCACCAGCATAAGGATCAGAAGTTCTAAGTCATCCTCTGTTAAGTTTGAGGTCTACCGCCACTACTTGGGACCTTGCTTCAAAAAATAAAAAATACATTGAAGGTCACCATTAAATAAAAATATTTCAAGTAATGGGTATGAGTGAAAGTAATCTTGGGAATTAATGTCTTGCAGTACAGAAGTACAGCATACGTTGGCACAGTTCTCAAAAAGGAGACAGCATATAAATAAGACGGTGCTTCAGAAGGCTTCACTTTCCTAGAAAGAACAATATACCCAATAACTAGATCTAATCACATTTCCTCGATTCTAACTTATGACTTTTCACTTTTGCTATTAACAGCTTAACTCTCTTTTCTTTCCTTCCCCGCGACTGTCATTAAATGGTATATTTTACCATGTATAAAATAAATGTACTAGCTACATGTGATCTTTCTTTTTTACCTTGAGGATAACTCTACAGCCTAAAACCTTTTTTGAAAACTGCTATTCCGGGTGGAATCCGCCTGAGCGAGTAACTGAAAAAAGAGGTTCTAGAACCCTGTCTAAAGTCAGCACGGGAGTCACAAACCACCTAAAGTTGGTTCCCAGGCATTCAATCCTAAAGCGCACTGTGATGATGACCAGGTGTGAATTTGCGGCCGGCCAAGAGCTGTCTAGCGACTGCCTAGTGCACAGCCCCGCCCTGTACCGGTTCCGATTCCCAAAGATCAAAGCCAACAGCGAACCGCCGGGGTCTAGCTAGGACAGCTTACGGGTAGTTCTCATCCAGTGGAGCAGTGCCGGGACATCTGCTGGAGCCGTAGTACCGAGCAGCTGAAGCACGGCTCGCCGAGCGGTCCGAAAGTCCATGGCGCGGCCAGCGAGCAGGCAAGGAAGCAGGCTCGCACGGCAGGAAGCGGGCTCGCACTGAGCATGCGCAGCCAGACCCCGCCCTCCACGGAGCCTCTCCATTCAAGAAGGCCTCGACGCTAAGCCCCGCCCCTTCGGGGGAGCCCGCCTCGCGCGGCTGCAGAAGCCCCAAGCCTCGCCCCCTCGCGGAGCGCTCTTGCACGCCTCTTCCCAGGGGGAGCTCTTCGAGTCCTGACTTGTCCTCCAGATTGCACCCCGAGAGGGAGGGCCTGTCTCGCCGCTAGCTTGCCGCCGCGGTGACGCACAGGCAGAACGCTAAGGTCAAAGGTCAGCTCTCATGCAAAGGAACGCCCCCTAAAAAAAAAAACACCCTTCGCGGAGGCGAGTTGCCGAAACGCGGCTTCGTGCCCCGGAAGCGGAAGTGTGTTTTCTTGGCGGAGGGCCGGACTACGCGAGTGATGACGTCCCCTCATTGGGCGGAAGGTTCGGTGGCAGTCGTCGGTGTTCCAGCTGGTGGGAGTTGGCTTCACGGTGCTGGGCGCTGGGCCCCTGGTTGATGTGGCTGGGGAAGCCGGGCTGCGGGGTCGTCCCTGTCCTTCTGCCTCCGGTGTTCCCGGGTTTCCTTCCGCGGCGCGGGGCCTCGCCGCGGACTCGCCGGCCCCAGGGCCGCGGCTGTAGTGGTGCCTCTTGCGGTGAGTGTGGGGGGTTTTCCTCGCCCTGCGCTGCTGGAAGGGAGCCGCTCGCAGCCGGACCCCTGGCTTGGGCGAGGCGCTTCTGCGGGAGCCTTTCCTCGTCGCCACGGGCTGCGATCACCCCGGCGGAGGCGCCCCGACACTTCTGTCTCTTGTCCTCCGTCGCAAGTTTTACTAAGGGGTGCACTGTTACCCTTTCTGGTTTGCCCGAGCCAAATGAGATGTAAGCATGTGTAGTCTTGGTGGCTTTCCTGAGCGAGTTTAGATGAGGCTTCTTGCCCAAAGCCTTCTGATGTGTACCAGATTTTGCTTTCCTGTCTCCTAGTGCCTGACATATTGTTTTTTTTGCATGCGGTAGCTCTTGTCTAAGTGAATAAGATGGTTCAGTGACAATGATAAGAGATACTGGCGACTTTTTTTTTTATCAGTGGATGCTATTGACAATGCATTTTCTTTGGAAACTTTATTATATCGACTTTCTCTTTTCTTTTTTGACTTATCAAGGCAGGGGTTCTCGGTGTAACGACCCTTGCTGGCTGGAACTTGCTTTGTAGACCAGGCTGGCCTCGAACTCACAGAGATCCGTCTGCCTCTACCTCCGAGAGCTGGGACTAAAGGCACCTGCCACTACCTCACAGCTTATATCAAAGTTCTTGTTGCCACTCTTCGCTTAGTAAACAAAATATTTACAGGACTTTCTTTTTTTTTTTTTTCTTTTAAACTGTAAGGACAAGCCCCAGCATGGAGTACCTCGGAGGAAAAGCCCATAAGTATATATTACAGCCTGACGCATACTGGGAAACTGTAGGCATAACGGGGTACGGGTAACAGACATGAAACTTCATGTGCCCCTTCAGGGGTTTGTCCGAACTATTTGCTGTTGAAACCTAGCATCAATTCCTAGCAGGATGGAAGAGAGTTAGGTAAACCGTTTATTCGTGTTGCAAAAGAGGAGGGAGACATTCCCCTCGAACCTGCGTACCTCACCTTTGTTGGTACGACTGATGAGTTTTTTTCCTGATTTAACAAAGACTACTGTGCAAGGAGTTCTGTGACTTTCTGTGCCTGCTACTGGAATGGTAGCTTTTCTTCCTTTTAAAGATAGGCTTTTTTTTTCTTTTTTAAATTTTGTCAGTGTGCTTTTGGAAGATCAGTAAAAACTACGGTCCCTTGGGGTACTTTTAGACTCGGTGGATTCGCTCTTGCTGTCTGTTGCCCCTTATTGCTAGACTACATGATCCTCCCTAGGTTCCCCCAGAGCGTTCTCGCCCAGTCATTCCCGTGTACTAACCATCTCCGTGCACCTTTTTCTACCCTTCATTCTGAGAGCTCTGCACTTTGTGCAGACTCAGTAGGTCTAAGCAAATGCGCTGCTTTCATCTCCCATTTTCCGCCAGGTTATCTGGTGTATGTGTTGAGATGTATAGAAGCAGTGTTTTTGAGTTTTGATCCTTATTTCTTGAGTGTGTTTTGTGTATGTTTTATTTAAAAAAAAAAGGCTAAAAAGAAAAAACAAAGCTGGGGGTTGGTGACACACACCTTTAATCCCAGCACTCGGGAGGCAGAGGCAGGCGGATCTCTGTGAGTTCGAGGCCAGACTGGTCTACCGAGCGAGTTCCAGGACAGCCTCCAAAACAATACAGAGAAACCCTGTCTCGAAAAACCAAAAAGAAAAAAACAAACAAACAAACAAAAAAAGGCTAAGCCACACGTGCCTAGCTACTTTGTAGGCTGGGTCGTGAAATTACTTGAGCCCAGGAACTGGAGGTGAGCCTGGGCAGTGTCAGTACCCCATTCCTAAAATACACGGCAAAGCAGTGTGGTTCGAAGAATACTTATCTAGACATTCTACTTAACTTGTAGACCATTATGAGTAACTAAGACTCTTGGATTTTTTTCTGTATTGATTTTTCCAGCTTTCAAATCAGCTTCCCTTCTGCTTTCCATCCATTGGTTAATGACATCATTAGCCACCTGGCTTTTCAAACTGGAAACACTGGAATAACTTTTGCCTTGTTCCTCTTCTTTTTGCCATTTGGCCATTCCGTCCTGTATCCCCTGTCTCGTGTGTTTTTTGTAGTTGTTCAGGAGCACTTTTCTAAACTTTTGGATTATGGCTAGGATTTGTAGACGTCTGACTCTTGGGTTTTTCCTCATTTGCTGCGTTTGCCATGGTTTCTTAAGATGTTTGTGTTCTATACAGGTATGTATGTTTATGTGTGTACATATAGCTTTTGCTTTCCTTTTTAAAATAGGATCTTATGTTGCCTTGTCTGACCTTGAAGCCGTGGCCTCAAGTGATCCTCCGCCTCAGCCTCCAAGTAAAATATATCTGTAATGGTCCTCTGCCTAAGGTATTTTAAAACTTGAGACAAACTGCACTGTTGTGGTATACACTTTTAGTCCCAGCACTCAAGAGGCAGAGGCAGGTGGATTTCTGAGTTCAAGGCCAACCTCATCTACAAAGTGAGTCCCAGGACAGCCAGGACTACACAGTGAAACCTTGTCCTGAAAGAAACAAAAAAACCAACCAACCAACCAACCAGTTGAGGACAGTTTTTCATTCCTGTGTCTGGTCAGAGGGATGCTGCTGAGTGCAGTGATTGCTAGGCCTGGCTGCCCATCAAGGTCTGTGATGGCTTGTTTTGCTTTTCTAATAAGTTCAGATAAGACTACCTCTCTAAAGCATTTTATTTCTCCCCCATGTTATTGCCTCTGGGAATTCGGACTGAGGATTTAATTTTGAACTGATAGGAATTGTATAAATGTAACTAATGTAACATTGCTGAGCTGTGTCTTCCTCCCCCCTCCATCTTTCCCTTCATTTCTTTTCTGTTTCAAAAGCAGCAACCATTTCCAAGAATTTTTTTTTGCATTTTTGCTTTTATTTTTTCTCTTAGCAGTATTTTGTATCAAGATTCTTTTTATGACTGATTTGACAAAGAGTATCTTAAGAAGGAATGCTTGTAGGTTGTTTTTTTCTTGTCTTTTCCTTCCTTTCTATTTCTTCCCTTTTTTTTCACAAGATCTTACTATGTAGCCCTGACTGGCCTGCAGCTTGCAATGTAGACCATGCTGACCTCAGGTCACAGAGGTCTAGGAGTCTCTTCCAAAATAAAAGCTGTGCACTATTACACCCACTTCCCCCCCATTTTTTTTTGTTACTATTCTTATTGCTTATTGGTGTGGTGTGGGGAAGGGAGGGTATTGTATATGTTTGTGCATATGTCTATGTTTCAGTATGTGTCTACAGGTCTGAGGAGGAAGCTAGAGAAGAATGTTGGATGTCTTCTATCCCTCTCTGCATGACCCCTACCTAACAGGTCTTTTTTTTTTCTTATTGTAAAATTTCATAATTCCCCCTTCCCTTTCTTCCCAATAAATCCACCTATATACCCTTGCTCACTTTCAAATTCATGGCCTCTTTTTCATTAATTGTTGTTACATACATATATGTATATGTATCTATTCCTAAACACATAAACACAGCCTGCTGAGTTTATATATGATGTGTATGTAAGCTCTCAGGGCTGACCATTTGGTATCAGATAACCAGTTGGTGTGTTCTTCCTTGAGGAAGACAGCTTCTGCTTTGAGCATTCCTTAGTTGCCTGTGATTCCTGTGTGAGGTGACTGGAGAGCTGTTGGTTGCTGCCAGGGTCTGTGTGCCACTCACTGTTGCAGCCTTGCTGTGTTACTTCCTGTGCCACCCCAGTTGTTGTGGTGTATAGCAGTCATAGCTGGTAGGACCTTGCTTGATTCCCTCTTTTGAAGCTTGCGTGGCACCTTCTGGTACCAAGAAAGCTAGTCTTTAGGGAGGAGGCTTTCTGGTTACTTCCTGCTCAGAGGTCTTTGGGCCCTGTGTCTGAAGTATGGTGTTTTCACTAATGGGGACTTACCCTCCACCTCTGGGGTGGGCGAGGGGGGCAATCAAGGGTGATATCAATGGCCTATAATGGTTTAGGAGTCTCTTGGACAATCCTGACAAATAACTCAAAAGAGGGCTTCTCATGCTTGGTGTTGGGTTTTTATTAGATGAATTTCATTTAAAATATATACGTATTATTTATATGCAGACTTAATTATATTATAGTTTTTTATTTTGTTTTTAGGTAGATTGTTAATAGTATGTTTTTTCCCCAGACACCCTTATTTATGGTTGTTTTACCCTCCTGTCCTTCAGTATTTATCTCCCTCCCCCTCCCTAGTTAGAACCCTACCCTATTTTCCCTCTCCGCACATCAGATCACTTGTACCCCAATACACCCCTCTCTATTGCTTCCCCACCCCAGCAACGGTCCCTTTTCACTTTCCTGGTTTCTGCAGTCACTCTAGGCTGTGTATCTGAAGATTTGGAGCTGAGCCTTAGATGAGAGAGAACTGTGATGTTTGAGACTGGGACTCTAAACCTGAAGCCCACTGTTTTGGCTAGCTGGCTGGCCACTGAGCTTCCTGGATCTACCCCTCAGTGCTGGCATGCAGGTGCGCACAGCTTCTTCATGGCTGCTGGGAATTCAGACTCAGATCCTCATGTTTGCACAGCGTGTGCTCTCAGGCATTTCCCTAGGCACCTCATTACCTTTTTAAATTGCATTTATTTTCAGAGCAAACATGGATTTATTAAGGAAAAGTGAGGAAGGCTCTGGAGACGGGAGGGGTTCCGTAGGAGGAATACTCTTCTCCTTTAAAAGAAAACCTGTTTGGTAGCCCAGGTTAGTCTTTTAAACTCATGGCCCTTCTGCTTTGTTCTCTTCTGAATGCTGGAGTTAGAGGCATGCCATTACTTTGCCTAGCCTAATTGAGGTTTTCTATACCTTTTCTTCCATTAACTTATGACATTGGGGCTGGAGAGACGGCTTGGTTGGTAAAGCGCTTGCTATGCCAGCATGGGGGTTGAGTTCAAATCGTTTTCTCGTATTTTAAAGCTCTTGGTAAAAATGTAACCAAGAATCAAGAATCTTTATGCCCAGCCAAGTTATTTTGAATTGCTAAAGTTGTCTAGGGGAAGCAGGGAGATAGTTCAGTATCTAAAGTGCCTCTTATGCATAGTGACCTAGATTTGATTCCAGGGACCCACATAAAATGGCCAGGCTGTGGTTGCACATACATGTAATATCAGCACTGGGATATGGAAACAGGCAGAACCCTGGGGCTCCTGGCCAGTGAGAGACCCTATCTCAAAAAACAAGGTGGACAGAGGTACCTCTGCTCTGTATATGTATGCACACACAGGTAATTTGCCATGCCATGTAGACCAGGCTAGCTTTAAACTCACAGATAGCCACCTGCCTCTGCCTCACAAGTATGTGTGTGCCATCATTCCCATCTAGATTCATTGGGGAAAAGTTATTTTTTATTTTGTGTGTTCTTGAGTGTTTTGCTTGCATGTATATATGTATGTGTGTTGCTTGTGTGTCTGGTACCTTGCAGAGGTCATAAGAGGATAGGGATCCCCTGGAACTGGAATTAGATGGTTGTGAGCCACCATGTGAGTGCTGGGAATCAAACCCAGGTCTTGTGGAAGAGCAAAGGTTCTTAACCTGTGAGCTATCTCTCCCCTAGATTCATTTTTAACAATTAACTGGTCTAACTTTTTAAAATGAAGAATGCTCTGTTTATGATGTCATCTTGAGTTTATTGTGGTGTCACAGATGGGACTATATCACGCCTGGGAACAGTGATAAAAGGAGATGAACTGAAACATCCCACTTCGACCATGAAAAGTACTTACTTCATTGATTTAGCTTATTGGATATGGGATAAAAAATTAATCTTGAGTCCTTTCCATGAAATAGTTGCTCTTTGAGGTTAAACAACTATGTAACTTTAAAAAAACAAAACAATAACAAAAAAACCCTTTGCTTAAGGTAAGCAAAACTTTTCCCATTTTCATCATGTCAGCAATAATTTAAAAAATTTTAAATTAATTTAGACTGTTTCATTATGTAGGCCTTGCTGGCCTAGAACTCACTATGTAGATGTTGCTGGCCTAGAACTCACAGAGATCTCCCATCCTCTGTCTCCCAAGTGCTAGGATTAAAGGTGTCCAACACCTCACCTGGAAATAGCAGTTATTTTTAACTTCTAGATTATTAAATTTTGCTTGTACCACATGCATGCCGGGCGCTGGAGGAGCCAGGTGAGGGCACCAGATTCCCTAGGACTGGAATAGATGCAGTTGGGAGTTGTGTTGTCAGCTGCCACGTGGGTGCTGGGATTTGAACCCAGTCTTCTGGTAGAGCAGTCAGTGCTTTACCTACTGAGCCATCTCTCCAGCCCCTTATTTTTGTTTTTTATGCGTCTGAATCTGTGTCAGTGTTTGCAATTTGTGTGAGTACTGGTGTGTGAGGGTCACAAGAGGGTTCCTCACTCCCTTGGAAATGGCTTTACAGGCAGTTGTGAGCATCTTTAGTGTGAATGGGGAATTGAACTTAAGTCCTGTGGAAGAGCAGTAAGTTTTAACTGCTGAACCACCTCTCCGACCGTTTTCCTCTTTTCCCTCTCCCTCTTCCTCCCTTCCGCCCTATCCCCCTTCTTTCCCCGTCTCCCTCCCCTCCTGCCTTCTTTCTTTTTTGAGATTGGGTCTTTCTAGCCCTGCTTGTCCTGGAACTCTCTATGTAGACAGGCTGGCCTTGAACTCACAGAGCCCCTGCCTCTGGAGAGCTGGGATTAAAGACATGAGAGTCACTATGCCCAGTTTCTATTTGTCTTTTATTTTGGGGGGAGTTAAGACAGGGTTTTTCTGTGACTTTGGAAGCTGTCCTGGAACTAGCTAGCTCTTGTAGACCAGGCTGGTCTCCAACTCACAGAGATCCACCTGCCTCTGCCTTAGTTTTAGTATCTTGTATACTCTGCAAAATAGGACCAAGTCCAGATAATCTCAAAAGGACTGTCAAAATAATTATTTTTAGCCGTTGTCTCTTGGTCAATATTGTTTATATTAGACTGTTTTCAAGCCTTTAAAACTTTCATTCCTTCTGTATAGCACTCTCTCCTGACAAGAATACCTTGTTACCAGCTCCTTTCCCCATGTTTGCATTTCTGCTCATTCCATCCATTTCATACTTACCAAATTCCCTTTTGTCTTTTCCACCAATTTAGTCTGCCCATATTTCAGGAATTATAGGAGTTAGCTCAGACAGTTATGGAGGCTGACAAGTCTATAGTTCGGCCGGAGTTGTTGGCAGGTTGATGACGAATGCTGTAATTTCAGTCCAAAGGTAACATGACAGGCTCCAGAGACAGGAGGTGATTTTCTGCTTTGTAGTTAGGCAAGAGGAGTTTGTTTTGGCATTTATTTTGCTGTTCATTCATGTACCTTGCTCACCAGCTAGTAAATAAAGGATGTTGGGGGCAGACAGTACTAATCGTATTTACTTACCTTCTGTGAGTTCTGTGATCCTTACCTGTAGTAGTATATCTGTGTACCTTTTAAAGCTATACCTTATTTTTGTGTTTGTTTTAGACTGTCTCATGTAACTCAGTCTGGCTTCCAACTCATGCCTGTTCCTCCTGCTCCCATATTTTCAAGTGCTAGAACTTCAGAAGTATACCCCATGACTGGCTTAATGGAAAGGATTTTTGAGGTTACTGTATTTTGTAGTTAGGAAATCAGTGTGTGTGTGTGGGGGGGGCACACATCTTTGATTCCAGCACTTGGGAGCTAGAGGCAGGCCTGGTCTACAGAGCATGTTCCAGCTCAGCCAAGCCAGGGCTATACAGAGAAGCCTTGTCTTGGGGAAAAAAGAAATCAGGAAATCACTTTAGAATGGAGAGAGTAATTGTTTCCTTAGTAGTTAGAAGAATAAAATAATGTGATTTTTTTTTTTTTTGAGACAGGGTTTCACTATGTAGCCCCACCTGGTCTGGAATTCTCTGTGTAGACCAGACTGGTTTCTAACTCATAGAGATCATCTACTTCTGAATCCCAAGTGCTGGGGTTAAAGGTGTGTGCCAGTAGAGTTATTTAGTAGGTGGCTCTCGTATAGTTGATGACTCAGCAGTTGATTTGTTTTGGCTAGAAAAGTTAGTGACTTATAAATAAAGGTAGTTTTCCCTTTTCTTTTTTGCTTAACAGTTAGATTCAATAGCACGGAGTTCTATGGTGTGGAGCTAAGCACCTTTCCTGGAGAGCTCACCTCCCCTGTTATTTACAGGCAGACATGGGCATCATTCAGTGACTCATATTCATTGAGTGTGTGCCAGAGAGAGAACAAAATTAGTTGAAGATCATCATACTTTTATTTCCTCAACAGATTATTTGATTTTTTTTTTTTTTTGAGGCAGAGTTTCTCTGTAGCTTTGGAGCCTGTCCTGGAACTCACTTTGTAGACCAGGCTGTTATGGAACTCAGAGAGATTCGCCTGCCTCTACTTTCCAAGTTCTGGGTCTAAAGGTGTACAACACCACCACCCAGCATTATTTGATATTGTAAATCTGATATTTATGTCTGAGATTCTCTAATCAGGTATTTAAATGGAAGACATCATAACCAAATAGCCATATTTACCTTTTTTGACATGAATGTATTGAAATTGCAGATTTAAGCAATAGAAGCTGAAATTACAGTGTTTAAACATTGGAGTATTTTAATTTGAATTTAAATATTCTTTTTATTCTTCAGTTAGGAGTTAATGAGAAATGGTTTTCAACTAATATTTTCTTTTCCTTTCTAGAGTCGTAAGTATATCTTAAAACCTTCAAGATGGTTCTAGCAGATCTTGGAAGAAAAATAACATCAGCATTACGCTCATTGAGCAATGCCACCATTATCAATGAAGAGGTATGTAAATAGTATAAAATACATTTGCTGGTACAAGGTTACTAGGATTAGAGAGCTGGACTAAATAATGATCTTTAGAGTTGTGATTTAATTTGATGTAGATTTAATACTGCAAATATAACAGAAAGGAATGCATTTATTGAAAAATCAACTATCCTGTTATCTCACCTTTTTATTTTTAATTGTGTGAGGTTATGTGCACACTAGTGCAGGTGCCCAGGTTGGCCAGAAGAGGTTAGAATATCAGAGGGTTATGAGCTGCCCAAGTGCCTGGACTCAAACTTGGATCCACTGGAAGAGCAACAAGTACTCTTAACCACTGAGAACTTAAAAAGCAAAACAAACAAACAAACAAAAACAATATCTTTATATAGCTTTTGAAATACTTGAATACTTGAATCTTGGGTAGCTTGCTGTTCTGTCTCAACATAGACCTAAAACTTCCTGGCACTTCTTTCTCCTTGATAGACATGTGCTTATCTGTTTTTCCTGTATCTGTCATTCAGCATTCTTCATATAAAAGAGTAGCATTTTTGCCTAGTGTAGCAGAACATACTGTAGGGTGGCTGAGGCAGTTCAAGCCAGGAAGGAAGAGCTTCTCTGATTGCCTCATGGAAGGCGAATCATAATCCAAACCATTATCATACCTGAAATAGTCTTTCTGGGCTCATAGGTTTTTTAAAAAGATTTATTTACTTAATTAATTATATGTGTGTGTTTTAAAGTTTTGTGTGTTTTTAATTTTATCAGTCTTTTGCCTGTGTGCTTGTGCAGCATGTGTGTACCTAATGCACAGAGGTCAGAAGAGGGCATCGGATCCCTTGGAACTGGGGTTATGGATGGTTGTGAGCCACCGTATAGGTGCTGGGAACCTGTCTTGGTTACTTGTCTATTGCTGACCAAGGCAATTTTCTTAAGAAAGTGTTTAGCTGGGTGGTGGTGCACCCGTTTAATTCCAGGACTAGAGAAGCAGAGGCAGGTGGATCTCTGAGCTCAAGACCAGCCTGGTTTACAGAGTGAGTTCCAGGAAGGCCAGGACTACACAAAGAAACCCTGTCTCAAAAAAAGAAAAAAAAAAAAAAAGAAAAAGAAAGATTTCAGTTTGGGGTTCACAGTTCCAGAGGGTTATAGAACCTATGACCATCGTGGAGGGGAGCATGGCTGTCAGGGAGTCATGCACTAGAGCAGTAGTTGAGAGCTCACATCTGATTCACAGGCAAAAAGCAGTCAGACTGAGCCTGCTTATGCAGCCTCAGAGTTTACGCCCAGTGACATGTCTCCTCCACAAGGCCACAACTCCTAGACAATTCACAAACTGGGAACCAAACATTCACATATATGAGTCTGTGGGGACCATTCTCATTCACATCATCACAGAACTGAACTTGGATCCTCTGGAAGAGAAGAAAGTACTCTTAACCACTGAGCCAGCTCTCCAGTTCAGTGGCTTTAATAGTTGTAAGATACTGTATCTCTCACTCTCCTATCTACTCAATGGCTTGTTTCTGCCAATGTACCTTAATGACTTGTTATTTGAAGGCAGATGATTATAGTCCATAGTATTCTTTCTAGTTTATAGTGACAATGAAAAAGTTCTGAGTTTCGTGTTACAATCCCTAGCTGGTTTCATAGTGATAGAAATGTGGGTAGATCCTTTAAAATGTATAAACTGTGAAAATAATATTTATTTTAAGATTTTTTTTTAATTAAGTGAACTAATACAGTAAAAGTATTCTAAGTTGGGTTGGAGAGATGGCTCAGCCATTAAAGACTAAGCTCATGATCAAAAAGTTTTCTATGTTTGAAGTTTCAGAAAAAATTCTATTACGAAATTTGGGGGGGTTGTTTTGTTTTGTCTTTTTGTTTTTTTTTGTTTTTGTTTTTCGAGACAGGGTTTCTCTGTATTGTTTTGGAGGCTGCCTGCCTCTGCCTCTCGAGTGCTGGGATTAAAGGTGTGTGCCACTACCACCTGGCTCTAGTATATAATTTATTATCAGTACTTTTAAAAAAACTGATGAAATTAAACAATTTTAAGACCGTCTTAGAAACTAGACTATTCAGATATTTCTTTACTGAAAGGGTATCTTTTCCCCTAATTTCTTCCATGAAGGTTTCTCTAATAATTCTTATTAATATTAAATCACTAATTGCTTAGTCTTACCATCCACAATAACTAAAACAGCAGCTTTCTGAATAACATGTTGTAGAGCCTTTATTCTCATTCTGATGGAGAAACAGACTGAAAAAGATGACAAATTCAAATTCTACACTTGGTGTTCAGAAAGTTGAGGCAGGAGAATCTCAGGTTAATGAGTTCAATCAACTTGGGCTACATAGGGAGGCTTTTTTTTTTTTTTTTTAGTATCTCCCCAAAAAATAGTATTGAAAAAGGAAGCCAGGTGTGATGACATAAGCCTGTAGTCCCAACGCTTAGGAAGTAGAGGAAAGGATAGAGGCAAGTTCAAGGCCAGCCAGGGCTGCAGGGTGAGGCCGTGGGGGCGGGGTGCTCTGGTGAGCCAGTGTGTGAAACCCTTGGTAGAAGCGGAACGACCACTTCTGATTTGGCAAGTTTTCTAGCCTTGGTGTTCCACTAGCAAATTAACCAAAACAAGTTCCTCTGGGGGATAACCAGTTCTAGTCAGTACCCCTGGATGAGGGCTGGAGAATCCTTACAGGTCTCTGAAGGGTGTACAAAGTACAGTTGCTATTTTAAGGCCTGTATTTGCAGGCATTTTGCTGGAACAAGGGTAAATCAGTAAGCAAAACAGAAATTCTTCCTCTTATGCAGCTTCTGCTCTACTGTCCATGCTTGTGTCTTGTGAGCGGCTGAAGCTTCATCTTTTCTTATAGAGCTTATACTTCACGACCTTCTAACCACAGGAACTGCATCTCAACACTCTGTGATAGGGAATTTTCAGTGGAAAATAGAGCCCTTTTCTACTTTTTTCCTCTTGATATGTAGAAATTGTAAGACCATGTAGTCATCTTTTATCTTCCATACTGCTCCAGTTAGGAAAAGCATATGCTGTGAATATAGGTATCAAAATTCTTCAGTGATTTAGGAAACATCATTGGCATCATATATTGGTTTAGTAGGTTTCTTTGTCTTAGTGTTGCTTTTATTTTAATGCTTTAATATAAGAATAAAACTATGATGATTAATACTTGATTATTAATACCTGTGTAAAACTAAATGCCATGCCTTATTTTTATATAATGACTGAATATTTAATATTATTTTTTCTCCAAAGGTAATTGGAAATCTTTTCTCACCTCCAATAGTGTGGTATTGCTATATCTTTTTTAAGCTACTGTATATTACATGATACCTGATCAATTGTTGTTTTTATGTTGTTGAAGTAAAACATTGAGCATATTTCAATTTTATTTATTTTCAGGTATTAAATGCTATGCTAAAAGAAGTATGTACAGCATTATTGGAAGCAGATGTTAATATTAAACTAGTGAAGCAACTAAGAGAAAATGTTAAGTAAGTTGAATTAATTGTTTAAAAAACAGGGACAAACCAAGTTTGGTTTACTGGGACTGAGGTGGTAACTAGGAAAGTTTGATTTATTATGAAATACTTCTATGGAGCACTGACATGACAGAGAACTCATGTGTCAGAAAACTGCCTGTGCAACAAGGTGTGATGGCTCATGTCTCGGAGATTGAGACAAGAGAAGTTTCATGAGTTCAGGGCCAGCCTTAGTTGTATAAAGTCTCAGGTCAGCTTGGCTGAAAGATGTAGATGGAAGAAGAATAGAAGAAGGACTGTGTATTTCCACACTGATGGCTCAGTGAACAACCAAAGATAACTTCATTTCATTGTAGATTTTCTTGTCTTTATTTGGATGGGCTCAGTCATTTATTATAGTTAAATGGGATACAACTTTATGTAAGAGCTTATTAACAATTCAGCTTCTTCATGAAATTGTGGTAAGATTACATGAGTCAGCCTTCTGCATGATTGAAGAATTATATTCTCTTCTGCTCTCCATTTGGTTTCTCTGTCCCTGTTTGAAGGAGTACTGTGTGGTCTTTGTTACTATATCCACTGGAAGAGGCGTATGGGTGGGACATCAAGAACCATATAGGCACCTCTAACTTCTTGAATCCCAGTCCTAACATTCCTTCTTTCTGCAGTGATAGTCTGGGAGAAGATACAAAACTAATAGCATTTAAGAATTTAGAACTAGAAAGTCAGTGTGATTCTCTGTATAAAATTTACAAGTTTCAAAAAAAATTAATGTTTTATAGTTATATCCAGAGAAATTAGTATTTATGCATTGAACTAAAAGCCTTGAAAAACTAACCAAAGTTTTATACCTAGTATTTTATGGTATAATTCTTTGTGATATAATTTTAAGAATCTATAAATAATTATATAGATGTTAAACTGTTAGTGTGAATGATTGAATGCTCTTACATTTTATGGGATAGAAATACTTTCAGATTATCCTAACTGACTTCTTACCCCAATTGTCACTGTTATGAAGGTCTGCAATTGATCTTGAAGAGATGGCATCTGGTCTGAACAAAAGAAAAATGATCCAACATGCTGTATTTAAAGAACTTGTAAAGGTAAAAGTATACCAATATTATAATTCCATCTACTCAATGGATAAAAATATATAGGATTTTAAATGAACACACTTTTGAGTTCCTTCTAATATCGATGATTCATCCGAATTGAAATATAAATTTGGGCTGGTGAGATGCTGTTCTGGTAAGGTGTCTGCTGCTAAGACTTAACCTGAATTTGATCCTGGAACCTACGTGGTGGAAGGAGAGAACTGACTCCTAGTTGTTCCCCGGCTTTCACATGTGTGTGTGACAGGAGCAGACAGAAAAAAGTTAGAAAAAAAATAAATGGGAGGGCTATTTAAAAATATTTGTGTGTGTGAATCTGGCGAGATGATTCAGCAGTTAAGAGCACTTGGTCCTCTTGCAGAGGACCTGGGTTCAATTCCTAGCATCCACGTGGTAGTTCACAACTCCAAGGGATCTGATGCCCTCTTCTGATCACCACAGGCACCACATGGTATATACATATGTGCAGGCAAAACACACATAGAATGTAGAATATGAAAAAATTAATAATAAGCTGGTGGTGGTGGTGCACATCTTTAATCCCAGCACTTGAAAGGCAAAGGCAGACAGATCTCTGAGTGTGAGGCCAACTTTGTCTACAGAAGCAAGTTCCAGGACAGCCAGGGCTGTGCAGAGAAACCCTGTCTTAAAAAAAATTAGTAGCAAAACAAAAGAGATTAAAAAATTGTTTGAAAAAACATATTTGTATGTATGTGTGTGTCTGTCTGTGGATATGTGTGTGATCTCTGGTGCCTCTGAGTGTCACAGGCTTTGGAGCTAGAGTTACAAGTGGTTGTGAGTTACCTGCTGTAGGTGCTGGGAAGCAAATTTGAGTCCTTTATAAGAATTATAATCAACTCTGGAGCATCAAGAACTAGACTGGGAAGCATTTGTTAAGTAGCTTCTTTCTTCTAGGCAGTATGCCAAGTGGACAGCAGAGATAACTCTTGTCCTTATCTCAGAGAAGCTTGTGGTGTAGAACAGTATGTATACAAGCTAAGTTAAAACTTGCATAGTAAGCCAGGCGTTGGTGGCGCACGCCTTTAATCCCAGAGGCAGGCGGATCTCTGTGAGTTCGAGGCCAGCCTGGTCTACAGAGCGAGTTCCAGGACAGCCTGCCTCCAAAGCCACAGAGAAACCCTGTCTCGAAAAACCAAAAAAAAAAAAAAAAAAAAAAAAAACTTGCATAGTAATACTAAAGCATTATTTACTCTAGTGTGTCCTTCAGGGGATTGAACCTAGGAAGTCACATGAGAAGTACATGCTCTGTCATTGAACTATACCTCTAGCTCCCACTCTTTGCCTTTTTTATATAGCCTGACAGTGTTGTTTTAAACAAAAATTCAATCGTTTAATTTTACCAGTAAAGACAAAGGAGCCAGATGCTGGGGTGAAAACCTGCTAGCTCAGAGAGACAAAGTACCCAGCTGACATCCCAGAAGCTATCTCTTTTCTCTGTCTCAAACGACTCCTGTAACTGAATATTCCTCCCTTCTTCCTGTTTGTTTTTCTCAGTCCTGACTCCCCCTTCCTCTCTGTTTTGTTTTGTTGTTTTCATAATAATCCTATGTTCACATCTTGCCAACTGGTTGCTTGCTCTGCCTCTTGACTTATGGTTGACTTTATTTGACCCTGTTTACAGTATTCAAGCAGAAAGCTCTTGGATTAAAGGTGTGTGCTAGGACTGAGCCACACCACAACTAGAAACAGGTTTTTCTAGTACATAATGCAGTCTCAGGATCCACAGTGTGATAACATATATTCTGCAGCATGACAGCTTGCTGTCAAATCAAGACAGTAACACCAGTTAAATATGGTGGCTCATGCCCTTAATCCCATTACTTCCTCCCTAGGTCTTTTGAGTATAGGCACCCTTCTCTACATTCTCCTCCAACCTGTCTATTTTTACAGGGCTAAAATCCTTTTATAAAGGATTTTAAATCTCTTCCCCTGACAGGACTAAAACAGGAAGGCAGAGGCCGGTGGATCTCTATGAATTAGAGGCCAGCCAGGCTGCATATTGAGACTGTCTCAAACAACAAACAAAAAAACAATGATATCAGCCAAACTATTTTATTAGTGACTGTACACTTTACTAGCAACTACTTAAAATGGCCAGCTTTTACTTCACAAAGCAGTAGATATTAATTGTATTAAATTGTGACCATTGACAATGCGTATGTATTTTTAAATGGGAAATATGTATAAAATTCTGCGCTGTACTCTCAAATTCTCTGAAAGCTCAGCTCAATTGCAAGCTAAAGTTCTGCTTGCATAGAACACCATTTTGTTTGTAAATAAGCAATAAGCATATAATATGGTTATTCTGACCTGGATTTAACTTGGCAGAATTATTTCCCAAAGTGAGGTTAACTTGTCACTTTAAGGAAAATAACTGACAATATTATAGCTGGTGATAAAATTCAAGATAAATATATGAACTAGGGGACTATAGTTTGAATCTCCAACACCACACAAAAAAGTAGAAGCTATATCTCTAACATGAGTTTGAAAGAATCTTGACTTTTTTTTATGATGAAATTAGTACTGATATTGTCAAGATTTTTACGTTTAATGAAATGAGTGATGATGTGAGATTTATATAATTCAGTACACCAGTGTTTTAAGTGGCTAAATGCGTGGTATTACAGATTCATCCATGAGGATGGATAATATCTGTGTTAAGTATAGGATAGTGTCAGTTTCAGTACAGCAGACTGGATGTTTATATGGCTTCAGATTGCACATTGCAGCCAACCCTTACAATTGAGTGTTTTTTTTGTTTTTTTTGGTTTTTCGAGACAGGGTTTCTCTGGAGCTTTGGAGGCTGTCCTGGAACTCGCTCTGTAGACCAGGCTGGCCTCTAACTCAGAGATCTGCCTGCCTCTGCCTCCCGAGTGCTGGGATTAAAGGCGTGTGCCACCAACGCCTGGCTCAAATGAGTGTTTTTATAAAGGATTTTTCATACTACAAGGTTGAAGACTTGTTTCAAGAATGTAGGAGGACAAGAAGATAGTTTTATAAAATGTTCAGTAATAATAGATAGCTGTCATGAATATAAAGAACAGAGATGAATGCAGGGCAGCCTTTCTATACTGAAAAGATATAGGAGAAAGGGAAGTGGATTTGCTTTAAGACAGATTTTGTTCACTTCAGGAGTTTTTCCTTGTTGTGTACATGTTTGGAAAAGGAATAAGAAAGTGCATTTTGATTTGTTTTCTCTTTTCTTTACCAGTCTTCCCTGAAACTCCTGTATAATACCTTGATGGTATTGTCTAGATTATTGATCCTGAACCGCTTAGTCTCTGTTGCACCTCTGTTTTTGAAACACAAAGGTGGTAAATGAATGGACATAGCTGTGTTCCACTAACGGCTTATTTACACCAGGCTTGGCAGTTCACCCAGTAATCCCAGCACTCAGAAGCTGTAGCAGGGGTTCTAGGGCAGCCTGGTTACGTACTGAGTCCAAACCAGCCTAGGTTACTGAATGAGAGCTTCTGTAAGTCAAATAATAACAGTAATCATCAGGATGATAATAATTTAGTTTGTAAACATCTGGTCTAGAATATTAACTGATTATGGAGTTACCATGTGCAAATAAGTATTTCAGGCTCCAAATGGACTTAAATTTGAATTATGTTTTTGCACTAGCTTATAAAGCATGGTAGTGCATACTTGTAACAATAGTAATATATAATTCAAGGACTTCAAGAGATGAAGAGAGGAGGATCAGGAGTTTTTGGCTAGCCTCAGCTACATAGTGAGTTCAAAGCCAAACTAGGTAACATGAGACTCTCAAAAATGAAACAAAAGAAAATTAGCCTTGTATTTGTTTGAGAACTGTTTCTATGTGATACTTTTTCACTAACCCATTGTTGTAAAATTCTATTTTTCTCCCTTGCTTTCTTTTTGTTATGTTTTGTTTTTTTGTTTTTGTTTTTCCAGACAGGGTTTCTCTGTGGCTTTGGAGCCTGTCCTGGAACTAGCTCTTGTAGACCAGGTTGGTCTTGAACTCACAGAGATCCTCCTGCCTCTGCCTTCCAAATACTGAGACTAAAGGCCTGCGCTACCACTGCCCAACTCTCCCTTGCTCTCTTTAGGTAATAATTTTATAGATCTTTTGACATTAGAAACTAGAATTAGAAGGTGCCATTTATCATTTTGTTTCATATATACATTTGTCAAATAGAACTTAAATACCAGTATGGAAGATTCCAGACACATGATTATTGAGCACTTGGAATGTGTCTAGACTAAATTGTAAAGTTATTTGAGCAGTAAGTACACATTAATTTAAATTCAAAGAGGGAGATGGTGATAAACATAAGTGACAGAGGGCCTGCCTTGGCATATGAAGCCATAGGTTCCAGCCCTACTCCCAAAATTAGCTTTTAATTTAACTAAATTTTTGTTTGTTTGTTTATTTATTCATTCAGTCATTTTGAGAAGACAGGGTTCTCAATGTTGTCTTGGCTGTTGTTTGTGGAGCTCAGTCTATAGATCAGACAGACCTGGAACTCACAGAGACTGCTTGCCTCTGCCTTCCCGAGTGCTGAAGTTAAAGGTGTGTACCACCAGCAGCATCAGGCAACTTTTTGTTTTGGTTTTTTGTTTGAAAGGCAAGACAAATTTGAAAAGGTATATACTGGCTGGATTTGAGGACTTGGAATATGAGAAAGAAATATAAATTATGTCATGGATTTCATGCTGAGATGATAATGTTTAGGTAATAAAAATGTATAGAGGCTAAATAATAAAATAAAAATTTAAAAGCTACACTTATCGAGGGGGGGGAGGTAGGAGTGTCTGTGTGTCTGGCAAGTGTGTACTATGTTTGGCAACTTAAGGGAGTTGGCTGTTTCCCTCCATCATGTGGGTCCTGAGGATTGAACTCAGGTTGTCAAGTTTGGTGATCACTTTTACCTATTGAGCCATTCTACTGGCCCCCAAATTTGAGGTTTATATAGTCTATAGGTAAATTTGTTTCATATTTATGTAGATGTGATACAGATGTGTGATGTAGATGAGCTCCTTACCTCTAAATTGCTTTGATTTGAAAGGCCTGCAATATTTTATATAACTCTTAAATTTCACTCTGCATGAAGGGGACTAGTAAAGTTGCCTAAGAATGTTGGGATTATGGTGGTTTCAATAAAGTGGAAACATCCTTAGCTTGATGTTTATAATTTAAATGTCATAGGATGTTTGAATGTCACATGTTAGTCTGACATTTTTACTTTTGGTATACAGCTAGTAGACCCTGGAGTTAAAGCATGGACACCAACTAAAGGAAAACAGAATGTGATCATGTTTGTTGGATTGCAAGGGAGTGGAAAAACGACAACATGTTCAAAGGTAAATACACTTCAAAAGAAGGCTTATGGAAGACATTTGAATGTCTGTATAGTGTATTATAGTCTTGTTACTCAGTGTACCTTCTCTGCTTTTGTAATATTTTTGTAGGACATAGAGTAGAGTGCTATAATCTCCTATCATGTTTGTCAGGATGTTAGACTTCTAAGCCAGGTGTGGTGATGCACATCTGTGGCCTCTGATACTTGTAAAGGTGGGAGGATCAGGAATTCAAGGTCACTTTTAACTGCATAGTGAGACTGAGGCCAGCCTTAGCTGTATGAGATCATGTCAAGACAAACAATGAAAAATAATGTTTAGTCTGGTTTCTTTTGAAAAAGAAAAAGCACCTCCTGTCCTTAAAGACTGTAGGTATGGCCAGATGTAGTGGAGGAAGAGGCCGGCGGATCTTTATGTGTTGGGACCAGTCTGTTCTCTAGTTCCTTCCAGGCCAGCCACAGCCACCGGGTGGAAAAGAGAGGGCGTAGGGAAGGAGAGCATGCATGCACACAATGCTTTTCTTTTTAATTGAAGAAAATAAAGGAATTTACATTCTCTTTTGACGCAAAATTCTCCTTTGAGTGACACACTATGTCACCTTTTACATGCCCTTCTTAATTTTTTTTAAAGATTTATTTATTATACATACAGTATTCTGCCTGCATGTATGTCTGCAGGCCCGAAGAGGGCACCAGGTCTCATTACAGATAGTTGTGACCACCATGTGGTTGCTGGGAATTGAACTCAGGACCTTTGGAAGAGCAGTCAGTGCTCTTAACCTTAAGCCATGTCTCCAGACCGCCCTTCTTAGTTTTTCATTTATTATATGACCCTTTTTTCTATGGTTGGGTTTCCCAACTTGGTTGCTAGATTTTTTTTTCTGTCACCCATGAGCCTTAGCCATGCTATAGTTTAAGGGCAAGGGTGGTTGCGTAACAGTGATTATTGCTGCTTTATCATCTTACATTCACTAAATGAGAGTTAGAATTTAAACTCTTTGCAACTTTTTCTGTGCCTCAAAATATTTAATATTGCATTCAAGAGAATTGAGCAATTTTAGTTCTTAGATAAATAAGATTAAACAAGTTTTATATAAAATGATGTGTTCTGATATTTTTCATCTTTCTTTCCCAGTTAGCATATTATTACCAGAGAAAAGGTTGGAAGACCTGTTTGATATGTGCAGATACATTCAGAGCAGGTAGTGTGTTGAAATTAAATATTTTTTTTTCATTTTATGATTTTTATTGTTACTTTTGAGGCTTCATTAATTCTTTGTCTACTAGGTGCTTTTGACCAGCTGAAACAGAATGCCACCAAAGCAAGAATTCCATTCTATGGAAGGTAGGTTACTATTTGTCTTCTCTCTCTCTCTCTCTCTCTCTCTCTCTCTCTCTCTCTCTCTCTCTCTCTCTCTCTCTCTCTCTCTCTCTCTCTCTCTCTCTCTCTCTCTCTCTCTCTCTCTCTCTCTCTCTCTCTCTCTCTCTCTCTCTCTCTCTCCTTTTTGAGACTCAGTCTTACTTTTAGTTCTGTCTGCCCTTGAAAATTCTAGTAGCCCAGGCTGGCCTCTGACTTGTGATCCTTTTGCCTCTGTCTTCTGGGGGCTGAGCTCACAAGGTATACACCACTATACATTGTGTCCTTTTTTTTTAAGACACCTGCAGCATCCTCATTAATATGTGCTAGGAAATATATTCTTGAAATTCTTTATCATTTAACAGTGTGTGGTAGGGGCCTGGCAACCTGAGTTTGACTCCCAGAAGCATAGTGAAAGGAGAGAACTAACTTTGGAAGGTTATCCTTTGACCTCCACATATGTACTGTGGCACATCAATGGGTTCGTGCATGCACACACACCTACTAGTAAATATATCTTTAAACCAAAAATGAAGTATATATTAATATACCTAATCAGCATTTTTAATGCTTTTTATTGTCATCTACTATACAAATATTTATAGGAAGATAGATTATTTTAAATTAAATTGAGTCTTTTGACTGCTGTCTTAGTTAGGTTACTGTTTCTATGATGAAAAACCATGAGCCAACGCAACTTGGGGAGGAATGGGTTTATTTGGCTTATGCTTCCAAATCGTAGTTCACCATTGAAGGAAGTCACAACAGGAACTCAACAGGGCAGGAGCCTGGAAGCCGGAGCTGATGCAGAGGTTATGAAGGGTGCTGCTTACTGACTTGTTCATCCTGCGTTCTCAGCTTGCTCAGCCTGCTTTCTCATAGATCCCAGGACCACCAGCCCAGTGATCTTATGGAGGCATTTCCTCAGTTGAGGTCTTGTAGATAACTCTAGCTTGTGTCAAGTTGACATAAAACTAGCCCACACAACTGCTTGGAACTTTGATTCCTATAGCAGTGGTTATATGGATTGCATAAATTTGTCAAAACTCATCAAATGGGGATTGGGCATGTAGCTTATGGATTATGGAATGAGCACTTGCCTAGGATATACAAGACCCTGAGTTTAGTACCTAGTTACACACATCCACCCACCCACCCACTAACTCACACAAATTAAAAATCAAAACTACCCCCTTTACTTCAAAAAAGTAGTCCTCATTAAAAATGAATATAGTGGGGATTGTTGAAATGGCACTTGTCAGCAAGAATGGCAACCTGAGTTCAATCTCCTGGACCTTGAAGGTAGAAAGAGTACCCATTCTTCAAAATGTGCTGACTCCACAGGTGCACCATGGTTTATTCATGCTTGTATATATACACATATAGAAGATTAAATAATAAATACATGTAACACAAAACTGAATGCAATGGTACACTTTATTGTATCATTTGTTAAGGGAATTTAATTTTAGAATGATAGTGTAATTTTTTTTGTGTAACTTACTGTATATATGTAGTCATTGTCACTTTCTTTTTGTTTTTTTGAGCCTTTGCTGTCCTGGAACTCACTCTGTAGACCAGGCCGGCCTCAAACTCAAGAGATCCACCTGCCTCCATCTCCCAAGTGCTGGGATTAAAGGTGTGCATCACCACTGCCTGGCTCATTATCACTTCTTATGAAGATCTTTGATATAGTTCCTTTACATTTGCAAATTTTAGTTTTATTGCTGTAATTTAGTACTCAAGATGCTGAGGTGATGGCCAGGAGTGGTGACCACCCACACCTTTAATTCCAGCACTCAGGAGGCAGAGGCAGGCAGGTCTCTGTGAGGTCAGCCTGGTCTACAAAGCAAGTTTCAGGACTGACGGGGTTGTTACGTAGAGACGCCCTGTCTTGAAAAACCAAAAAAAGGAGGAACTAAAAAAGAAAGATACTGAGGTGAAAATTATCTTGAGTTCAAGACTACTCAGATCTATATAACCAGGTTAGCCAGGACTTCATAGTGAAACCTTATCTTCAAAAATAATTGATTTATTAAATAATGTCTGGTAATGCTAATAGCTATCATTTTTTGCTTTATTTATTCTGTGTGTGGGTATTTTGCTTGCACATATGTCTGTACCACATGTCTATCTGTCTGGTGCCCTTGTAGGCTAGAAGAGGGATGGTTGTGAGCCCTGCTTTATGGGTACTGGGCACTGAACCTGGGTCCTCTGGAAGAGCACCCAGAGCTCTTAATTGCTGCACTCTCTTTCCAGCCCCTATTCTTTCTTTCTCCTCTTTTAGAAGTATTTATTTCATGTCTTTTTGATACTAACAAACATACCAACCTTGATGTACATAGTAAATGATGATGTCATCATCTGAGGGGGTGCTGTTCAATTTAATAACTTCATAAAATGATAGCAAAGAGTTATTAAGCGGAAAAGCAGTTATAATATGCTTTGTAGCATGACTTCTCTTATTAAAGAAGATGCTAAAATACGTTTAAGGAAGCAGTCCTGAAAAAACACACATTAGAAATAATGTAGACTTTTGTATGAAAGTTCAGTGGTGCCTAATGATGCCATGTAATGGCTTCTTAGGTGCTGGAGATATGGCTGAGTTCAATTCCCAGCACCCACATGGTGGATTATAACCATCTATAATTTGTTCTAGTGCCCACCTCTGGACTGTAGTGGAGGTATATGTGCAGGCCAAATACTATACACATAACAAATAAATATTTAAAAATAAAGAGAGAAAAAAGAAATGGCTTCTGTATTTTTTACTTATAAGGAAGTTCTTCTAAATTGAAAATATAATGTTTTTACTTTTTCAGAATAGATTAAAAGTAAACTGACAATTTCCAAGTAAATAGAATTCTGATGTTTTCCCATCGTAGTGTTAAATCATTTGTTCATGTTTAATAGCTATACAGAAATGGATCCTGTCATCATTGCTTCTGAAGGAGTGGAGAAATTTAAAAATGAAAATTTTGAAATTATTATTGTTGATACAAGTGGTCGACACAAACAAGAAGATTCTTTGTTTGAAGAAATGCTTCAAGTTTCTAATGCCATAGTAAGTAGCTTTCCATGGAACATTATTTAAAGGAAGTCAGTCAGGTTAGCTATGAAACCCGATTGAGTTTTTGGTGACTATAAGTTACTCTTTGCTTAAGATAGCTATTAAGTAACTTACTTCTGTTTTGGGTACCTATTACTGTGTGATAAGGACTTTATGTCATTTTTGGTCTTCAGTATAGAAAAAATAATGAAAAAAGAATTAAACTTAAATATTTGCTGATTTTTCTCATCTAAATTCAGTAGAAACAATAATTTTGAAGATTTCTCAAAATGAAACATTAATATTTTCATTTAGTGTCTCCTTTAAAGCTCCTAAAAGACAAAGCTGTGTATGGTGGCACATGCCTTTTATCCTAGTACTTGGGAAGCACAGATGGATCTCTGTGAATTCAAAGCCAGCATGATAATATCTAGCTCTAGGTTAGCCAAGACTATATAGTGAGACCTGTGTGTTAGTCACTGTTTTGTTGCAACTCTCAAAGAAACAAAACATATAATTGGTACTGGCTTAAAATTTCAGAGTCCATTATCATCATAGTGGAGAACATGGTGACTGACACAGGCAGCCATGGTGCTGGAGAAGTGGCAGCATCCAAATCTGTAGGCAGCAGCAGAAGAGAGCAAGCCTCTGGGCCTGACACACTTCTTCTAACAAGGCTACACCTAACACCTACTAATCCTTCTCAAGTAGCATTTCTTCCTATGGCTAAGCATTCAAATATGTGAGGCTTAGGGGCCCATTCTTATTCAAACCTCCATACAAAAAAATAAAGTTTTGAAAATAATGTAGGGGTAGGAAGTAGCACAACACCTGTTGCATATATTAGAAATTCATGTTTGGCTATTGGGATGCTGTCAATAATTCTTTGTTAGTAATTGGTGCTAATTATTAGTGTCTTTTTAGTGCTCCTATTATTTTGGGGAATGGGAACAGATCTAAGGGACACAGCCTCAGTCTGTTACTGAATCTGTTTTCAGAATACAGCCTTCTGTTTTGTACTTTTTCTGATTTGCTTTTACTGTTCCTTTGCCTTTGGCGTCATTCTAGAAGGTGTTTGCATAACCTCCTTTTCCTAGTCTTCTTCGTCTTCTTTCCTCCTTGTCCTCATTTCCCCTCTTTCTCTCCCTCCATCCCTCCCCCCTCTCCCTTTCTTGCTTTTGAAACAGATTTCATGTATCCCATGCTGTCCTGGAGCTCACTCTGTAGACCAGGCTGGCCTTGAACTCAGAGTTCTGCCTGCCTCTGCCTCCCAAGTGCTGGGATTAAAGGTGTGCGCCATCACCTCCAGGCAACTTTCCTTTATTCAGGCCTCAGTTCAGAATAATTTCCAAAGATGTTACCATATTTTCTTGTATATATTATGGGCTCAAGGGTTTTCTTACTCATCTCTTAGTCAGGCCCTATATGCCACTAAATTCATGGTGCTCCCTCAGGCAGTATTTATTAATGATATTTATAATGAGTCTTCTATACATGCTCATGGTGACTTTTTCTTACCACTGGTAAAAACATGTCTTTGTATTCTTTTTAGCAACCAGACAACATTGTTTATGTGATGGATGCATCCATTGGACAGGCTTGCGAGGCGCAGGCGAAGGCTTTTAAAGATAAAGTAGATGTAGCTTCAGTAATAGTGACAAAACTTGACGGTCATGCAAAAGGAGGTGGTGCTCTCAGTGCGTGAGTATCAGCTGAAGTTTCACTATTGTGGTGTTAAACCCTTTGCCCTGTAAATCATTTATTCTATGACTTGGGATTATGTGTATATTTATGAGTTTCTTACTCTGTTTTTAATAATACTTTAGTAGTGAATGATCCATAAAAGAGATTTAAGTATAAATGGGATTTTGGAACCTGTCTAGTGTAGTTCTAACTAGTGAAAAACAAAACAAAGCTTGAATTTGATACCTTTTGTTTATTATCGTTGAAAACTCTTCTGGCTATTTGTTTTCTTTTTTGAGGTTATTTTTTTTTTTCTGTATAGAGTTGCTGCCACAAAAAGTCCAATTATTTTCATTGGTACAGGGGAACATATAGATGACTTTGAACCTTTCAAAACACAGCCTTTCATCAGCAAACTTCTTGGTACGTACAACGTGGAATAGAACCAGATCTGAGATAGCCTGGATCTTAGCGCAAGTTAGGATTTTAACGCTAGCTTACTAAGTAGCTGTATATGGTCAGTCCTTTGTTTTCTTTCCTTCCTCTTCTCTGAAGCGCTGGGGTCAGAACCAGGGCCTTTTGTCTGCTGTGCTCATTCCCAGCCTTCCAACCTCTTGTTTCTGTGGGTGGCATGGTAAAATGACTTATTGGATGCAGTTTTTTGGAAGCATTTGAGCACATAATACATAACTTTGTATTTATAGTAATAGAAGTTGAAATGATAGTAAAACTTTTCTGTCGTCTTAACCTGGTATAGTTAGAGAGCATGGAATTAGAAGGTTAGCCCTGGGCTGTTTTCCCTAATGTACGCCTTTGCTTCTTCCTCCTTAGCATCATTTTTTCTTTCATGTAAAACACAGTAAGAGTACTTAACTAACCTTGCAGAACTATTACATGCCAGTGTATTTTGCATAACGTAAAGGTGAGCATATTATTAGCTATTCATTTTTCTCTTTGGTGTCTTATAGGTATGGGTGACATTGAAGGACTGATAGATAAAGTGAACGAGCTGAAGTTGGATGATAATGAGGCACTTATAGAGAAGCTGAAGCATGGTATATTTGTAGCAAAAAAAAAAAAAAACCAATTGATTTCAAATGTTTTCTCTTTTGTTTTTCTTTCTTTTGTTGTGATGATGGGGATTGAATCCAGGGCTTTGTGCATGCCCTTTACTGCTGTCTACCTCCCAACCCATTGATTTTCTGAGAGAGATCTTACTATACAGCTCAAGCTGTTTTTGGACTTCTGATCCTCCTGGGTTACAGGCATACACTATCGTATTTTCCCTTGATTTCTTTTTCTTTTCTTTTTAAAAAGTTATATGTGGGGAGGGAGTAGCACATGACCTATATAGCACAAATGAAGTAGTTAGAGGATAACTTTTGGATGAAGTTTGTTCTTTTCCTTATTTACATGGGTTCCAGGGATTGAACTTGAGTTATTGGACTTGCAAGACAAGCACCTTTACCCAATGAGCCATCTTTCCAGCCCATCTTTTTGATGCATTTACTACTAATTCATTGGAAATGATAATGTCTGTAATTCTAATAAATACGTTTTTAAGCTGGGCATAGTGGCATATTCCTTTAATCTCTTTGAGTTCCAAGCTAGCCTGGTTTACAAAATGAGTTCCAGGCTATTCGGGGCTACATAATAAGACTCTGTCTCCAAAAAAGAGGTCAAATGCTTGTTTTAGATGATTTATATGCAAATCATTTTAATTCTTGGGCTTCTGAGCAGCTACTGAATTAGTTTTGTTATCTTATAATCAAATTAGCTGAGAGTTAAAATAGAAACTTTTATTCTCATTCTTGAAACAAAAATAGTTGAAAATTCAAACTACACTTTGTGCGTGCGTGTGTGTGTGTGTGTGTGTGTGCGTGTGCGTGCGTGCGTGCGTGCGTGCGTGTGTGTGTGTGTGGCCCAGGGTCTTGTATCCTGGTTTGGTCTGGAATACCTTTTGCTCTTGCCTCTGCCTTTCAGGCACTGAGATTACAGGGTGTGTCATTACACTTTTTAGTGATTTTTTGTTCGTTTGCTTGCTTGCTTGTTTTGTAGACCAGGCTACCTTTAACTCAGAAGAGATCCGCCTGCCTCTACCTCCTAAATGCTGGGATTAAATGTGTGTGCCACCACTGCTTGGCTCACACCACCATTTTTATCAGTGAGTATTAACATCATTTGCCTGTGTTTGGAGTCACAAACTTGGGTGTCATTTATTGATACTTTTTTTCAACCCCAGAGTCTTGTGCATGCTAGGCAAATAGTCTACCCCTGAGCCATGTCCTTAGCCTTTTTTGTTTGTTTTTCTCCTTACCTCTGTCTACCTTTTCCCCCATTTGTCTCCTGGTTGTAGTACTTTACCTCTTGAATACCTCCAGTTTATTGACCATTCTCTCAGCTGTTCTGCATTCATGCTATCTTATCTCATATCTCAGTTGCTTATAAAATAGTATTTGGTTGGAGGTTGCTTCCAGATTCAGAGAATGAGTCCATGACCATCATGATATGGAACGTGGCAATAGCAGATGTTGGGGTAGTAGCTGAGGGCTTACATATAATTCACAGGTTTAAAGCAAAGAGAGCAAAACTGGGAATGGAATGGGCTTTTGAATCTCAAAAGCCACTCCGGTGACACTTCTCCAGCAAGGCCACACCTTCTAATCATTCCCAACCAATATTCCAACTGAGAACCAAACATTCAAATGTATGATCCAATGGGAACTGTTATCATTCAAACTTCCACAACCAAACCATCCTTGAATTTGAGATCCTCTTGCTTCAGCCTCTGAAATGATGGAGTTACAGGTGTGTGTCACTAAACCTGGCTGATCTCTTTATTCAGAAAATGAGCGTTTTCAAAAATTAAGCTGTGACCCCATCAATCTAAAACCCCCCACCAGCTTCCCATTGTCCTGAGAGTGCTTATAAAGCTCCCATTATCTAGTTCCTGCCTTCTGCATTAGCTTTTGACTTTGCTGTATTTACAATTCTGTGCCAGCGTTGCTGAGCTTTCAATTTCTCAAATGTAAGTTGCTCACACTTTTTGCTAGACCCTCTGTCTGTTACATACATCCTCTCTTTATACTATCTGCAGACTAGTACTTAATTCATATACTAGATCTCGCCTCTGATGCCTTACCTGATTCTTAGACTTAAATTAGAAGACTCTGATGCATGTTCCTTTGTACTCTATAATTGTTGTCGTTCATCACAATCATTTGATATTTAGCTTATTTTCCCTGCATGAGGTGAAGGTAAGGATCATAGTTGTGTTTTTCATCTTTCATATTCATAGTACCTTGCTCGGTATCTGATACAATGTGGTCCTGACTGTCCTGGAACTTGTTACGTAGGCTAGGCTTGGCTCAGATCCCCTGCCTCTGCCTCTGCCTCTGCCTCATGAGTTCTAGGAGAAAAGGTGGGCACCATCCCAGCCCCTTCTTCTATCTTGAAGCAGTACCCTAGTTCTACTTCTGTATACTGTACATAGTTTGTCTATTCTCAGATTTCTGACTGTTTAGATCTCTGGGGTATTTTTGGTTTTGTTTTTTTGTTTGTTTGTTTGTTTTTCGAGACAGGGTTTCCCTGTATTGCTTTGGAGCCTATCCTGGAACTCGCTCTATAGACCAGGCTGACTTTGAACTCATAGAGATCCGCCTGCCTCTGCCTCCCGAGTGCTGGGATTAAGGTATTTTTGTTATTATTCCTTACGTGTTGGTTATTCTGAGGTCACCAAGCTCTGCCTAATTTCTTTTTTTGTTTTAAGATTTATTTATTTATTACATATACAGTGTTCTGCCTATATGCCAGAAGAGGACACCGGATTGAATTGTAGATGGTTGTGAGCCACCATGTGGTTGCTGAGAATTGAACTCAGGACCCCTGAAAGCGCAGTCAGTGCTCTTAACCTCTAAGCTATCTCTCCAGCCCTACCTAATTTTTTAATGATTGTTTTCACATTCTCCAGTTGTTAACAGTGTTACCTACCTTTTCAAAGTTTTCACTTGATTCTGTTGCATGGATTTTCTGTTCAGTGATCACTTATTTTGTTTTACAAAAAAAAATTGACCTGTATGTTTATGAATGTGTGTACTTACACATGTCATGCATTCGAGTGGAAATCAGAGGATGACTTGCTGGAGTCTCGTCTTCTCTCCTACCTTTATGTGGGCTCTGAGGATCAAACTCAGCTCATAGGCTTGGTGGCAAACATCTAGTTTCATTTCTTATGAATGACCAAAGTGGATACTAGAATCTAAATGCTGATGCTTACAGCAGAGCAGCAAGCACTTTTAGTCATTGAACCGCCTCTCCAGCACAGGTATTTTCAAAATTCTGTATTGTGTCCATTTTTCCCTCAGTTTATTTCACACAACATGATTTTGCCCTTAATTTATTATTATTGTTGTTGTTATTATTAGTGTGTATTTGATGTGTATGTGTGTGCGCGTGCATGAGCGTGCATGCTTTAGCATGTGAATAGAGATCAGAGAACAGTCAGCTCCCTACTTACTGCTACCTTTTTGTGGTTTCCAGTGATTGAACTCAGGTCATCAGTTTGCACAGCAAGTACCTCATCCACTGACCAGCCCATATAATTTGTTTTTGGTTTTTAGACAGAGTCTTCCTTTGTAGTCCTGACTGGCTATAAACTTGGAATCTTCTCTCCTTAGCCTCCTGAGTGTGGAGATACAGGTGTGAGCCACCATGCCCATCAGCAAAATATTTTTATAGTCAATGAAGTTTTTTATAATCATGAATGAAACACTAGTTTTGTCATACAGGGACTCTCTATAGCCTTGGCAGTCCTAAAACTCTCTGTGTAGACCTGGCTGTCCCCAAACTCTCTGCCTCTGCTGGCATTAAAGGCTGTGTCATCACTTCTGGCATTATTTGAGTGCTGTTTTGTCCTCAGTCTGTCTGTTTTCCTAACTGTGGATAGCTAAGGTATTAAGACATTTCAAATCTTTTTTTTCAATTTATTTTCATTTTATGTGCATTTGTATGTATATCTGTGTGAGGGTGTTGGATCCCCTGGAACTAGAGTTGCAGACAGTTATGAGCTGCCATGTGGGTGCTGGGAATTGAACCTGGGTCTTCTGGAAAAGCAAACAGTGCTCTTAACCACTGAGCCATCATCTCTCCAACCTGACATTTCAAATCTTATAAATCATTTTCACTATTCTGTATTCTTGCCCATAGTGCATAGGAATTTTATATGTTCTATATTTTTAGCTTTTGCTGTGTTCAAGCCTTTTAATTGTAGCCATTTTAGTAGGTGTAGTTTGCCTTGTTCCTACATTTCTATTTATTTGCATGTGTACTTTTTAATGTGCTGGGATAGTAAGCTTCTCTGTGATACAATCTGTCCATGTGCTTATTACTCCTTACAGCATTCATCCTGTCTTCCACACAGTAACTGTGCGATGAATGTTCATTGATTGCATATTATGCTTCAAGATACATGATTAAGGAAATTACTAGTTTTATTGAATGGAAATGTACATTTTTGCTATATCTGAATTATTTATATTGCATTTCAGGTCAGTTTACATTGCGAGACATGTATGAACAGTTTCAGAATATCATGAAAATGGGCCCATTCAGTCAGATCTTGGTTAGTTATCTTTAAATGTTTCTAAAGTTTCTTTATATGTTGTATTCATTTTGTTTGTACAAAGAAAGCAAGTTTAATACACTGCATTGCAGTAGGCATGGCGCTAACACAGAATCGCCGCCTGCCTTATTAGCATGTATCAATTGTTTAAAATAGTGGGTTTTATTACAGTATTTTTATGAGTTTATATAATATACTTTGTCTTTTTATTATGATTTCTAAGAACACTTATATTTACATAAATCATTTGGTTACATGGAACTTTTAAGAATTGGTTTCAAAGCTAGTATTTAAATACTGACATTTTCAGCAATATTAAGTCATTGATGACTATGTTGAAATCTGTTCCAGGGGATGATTCCAGGTTTTGGAACAGATTTTATGAGCAAAGGAAATGAGCAGGAGTCAATGGCAAGGCTAAAGAAACTGATGACAATAATGGATAGTATGAATGATCAAGGTAAGAGGTCCTTCATTCAATTCCCAGTACCCACTGGTAGCTCACAGCCATTTGTAATGGCCATTTATAACATGGGATCTGGTACTCTCTTCTGTAACTGTACATACAGACAGAACACCTATATACGTAAAATACATAAATGAGTAAATCTTTTTTAAAAAGCCATTTATTAATAAACAATCAAATTCAGGGTTTTTTTAATTATCTCTTTTAGTACTTAATGTGTACCTTTCAAATATAAAGCATTTAATCATCACAGCTCTTAAGGGGGATAATTCACTGTTTACCATCTTTTCCAGGTAAGAAATTGAGATATAATCATGCTGAGAAAAATCTTTTCAAGGTCACTAGACAGTAGAGGGACTAGGATCTATCCTAGACATTTTTCTTGAATCTGTTCTCAGTCACTCTGTAGGATACATGATGGCTCTAGCACATCTGAAAGCCTTTTTTTTTCTTTTTGAAATTGTGTTTTTATTTGTTTTATGCCTGACAAAGGAGTATATACAGAAATGCCAGCCAAACATATTTAGGTTTGGCATGTAATAAAAAAAAAAATTCTATGAGTTATATCAAAATGACACATACTTCCTTACTTAATTACACAATTCCCACAAGTTTATTTATAGTTTCAACATCTATGATCCCTATATTTGGGAGGTGGAGGCAGGAGGAACAGGAATTTAAGGTTATTCTTGAGCTGTAAGACAAGGTTCAAGCCAGCTTGAACTACATGAAACTCTACCTCAAAGAAAGCAGAAATAATATTAATAAATAAAAATCTTCCTTTTCAGCTAGGCAGTGGTGGCACATCCCTTTAGTCCCGGTACAAGAGGCAGAGGCAGGCGGATTTCTGTGAGGTCTAGGCCAACCTCATCTACAGAGTGAGTTCCAGGACAACCTGGACTATATAGATAAACCCTGTCTCAAAAAAAAAAAAAAAAAAAATGGCCGGGCGGTGGTGGCGCACGCCTTTAATCCCAGCACTCAGGAGGCAGAGGCAGGCGGGTCTCTGTGAGTTCGAGGCCAGCCTGGTCTACAAAGTGAATTCCAGGACAGCCTCCAAAACAATACAGAGAAACCCTGTCTTGGAAAAACCAAAAAACAAAAACAAAACGTCTCCCTTTTCATGTATATAAAAATTAGTAATGTTGATTGTCAAACTTATCAAAATGGAGAATGCCAAGACACTGGGTATTTAAACACACACCTATAATCCTAGCACTGAGCCAGGAGTACCATGAATGAGTTTGAGGCTAGCCTAGGCTATGTAACAAATACAAGACCAGCAATAGCTGCATAGCAACACTTGGTTTCAGAGAAATTAAATAAAAACAATCTAAAGAAGGAAAAGATAAACATTAGCCAAAACATCTTGAAAACTTTAGATGTCTGTTGTAACTGAATATCAAGACAAAGTGTTCTTTTTCACTCAGAGTTGTGAGATACTCTGCAATACTGTCTTCTAGAAATCTTACTGTTTTACTTTCATTCCTGTATTTGTAACTCTTGAGTATTTGTATCTGTGTAGGGAGACAGTCTGACCTTCACTGCTCTTTGTTGCCGTACTCTGCAGAAATCATGTTTACTTGTGTGAATTTGTTTGTTTGGTTGGTTTCCTGAGACAAGTTTTCTCTATATAACAGTCCTGGCTGTCCTGGAACTCGCTCTGTAGACCAGGCTGGCCTCAAATTCTCCGAGATCCTCCTGCCTCTGCCTCCTGAGTGCTGGGATTAATGGTGTGTGCCACCACTGCCCAGCCTACACTTGTGAATTTGTTCTGCTTCTAGATTTGATTTTTCTGTTTTATAAATTTGATCTATAGTTTTTCCTTGCTTAGTTTTTTTTGAGACAATCTCACTATGTAGCCGTAGCTAACCTGTAACTTGCTATGTAGACCAAAGTGGTTTCAAATTGGAAAGAGATATCCTGCTTCTGTTCCAGAGAGTGCTAGGATTGAAGGCATGTGCCTCCAGGCCTGGCTTCATTCTGTATTTGGACTGATTCTAGAAACTCTGCAGGCTTGTATTTCTTTTTTTTTTTTTTTTTTTTTTTTTTTTGGTTTTTCGAGACAAGGTTTCTCTGTGGCTTTGGAGGCTGTCCTGGAACTCACTCTGTAGACCAGGCTGGCCTCGAACTCACAGAGATCCGCCTGCCTCTGCCTCCCGAGTGCTGGGATTAAAGGCGTGCGCCACCAACGCCCGGCTAGGCTTGTATTTCTTATGCTGTTAGCCAGTCACTGGAGGTCCTAAGACTGAGGCCACCTACTGTTTTAATAATGGAAGCTGATTTTTTAATTATTATTTTATGTGTATGGATATTTTACCTGCATGTATGTCTGTTCACAACGTGTGTGCTGTGCCTAGGGAGGTCAGAGAGGGCGTTGGATTCCTTGAACCTGGAGTGAAAGGCAATTGAGAGCCAGCGTGTGGTGCTGGGAAACAAACCCTGGTTTGTTCTCAACCACTGAACTGTCCCCTACCCCGATTTTATTTTGTTTTTGGGTGTTTTTTGTTTGTTTGTTTGTTTGTTTTCTCTGTGTAGCCCTGGCTGACCTGAAATTTGCTCTGTAGACCAGGCTGGCCTCAAACTCAGAGATTTGCTTGCCTCTACCTCCCAAGTACTGGGATTAAAGCCATGAACCAACATTGCCCAGATTCCCCTGACCCCCTCCCCCCATTTATAAAAACAGTTATTTATAGCTGGGGGTGGAGGGACTTGGTATGTATGTGTAGAGGTCAGAGGACAGTTTGGGGAAGTTGGTTCTCCTTCTATCATATGAATTTTAGGGATTGAATTCAGGTTATCAGGCTTACAACAAGCAGCTTTATCTGTTGAGCCATCTAGACTGTCATGGATGTTATGAAGAGTGTTGGACTAGGCATATCATATACCTATAATCCAGTTACTCAAGACCAAGACATGATTACAAGTTCGAGCTCAGCCTGAGGTACAATGAAAAAGAGACTGAGAGGTATTTTCTGTTATGTGTGTATCCTGATTCTCTTTATTTTACTTTGTTTTGTTTTGTTTTGAGACAGTTATACTGTAGATTTCTTTTTTTACCCCCTTTTTTCTGTTTTTGATACAGGGTTTGCTGTGTATCCCACCTGCCCTCAAACCCTGTGATCCTCCTGCCTCAACCTCCTGAGTATGTTTGCCACCTACCATGTTTAGCTCAAAGTAGATATTTTGACTTAAGTCCACCTCATTCCTTACATTGCATACAAGTAAAGGCAGAAGAACTACACTTTACATTTGGAATGATCAAAAAACTAAAGGGAGCCGGGCGTTGGTGGCGCACGCCTTTAATCCCAGCACTTGGGAGGCAGAAGCAGGTGGATCTCTGTGAGTTCGAGACCAGCCTGGTCTACAAGAGCTAGTTCCAGGACAGCCTCCAAAGCCACAGAGAAACCCTACCTCGAAAACAACAACAACAACAAAAAAACTAAAGGGGACTCATGAGTACACTGCAAAAGGATTAGAATATTACCAGTTATAATTTCTGCATTATAACATTAATTATACATAGAGTCTTCTGTTTCTACTTGCTTATGAGGTCTAATTTGTGAATTAGAAGTTAGCAGTTGTTTAATAGGGTAGAATCAGTGTGAGTGCTTCTGCTCTGTTTTTGAAACATGCCACATTCTTGTGATGTGTGGAGGACACAGAAAGAATAGACATGTGAAATACAGAGTAATAGACATAGAGTTCCAGAAGTCCTCAGATCCCCCCCCTTTTTTTTTTTAAACCAACTCTTACTATCTAGCCTTAGCTGGCCTTGAGCTTGGTATGTAGACCAAACTGATCTCAAACTTACAGAGATCCTCCTGCCTCTGCCTCCTGAGTCCTGGGGTTAAAGGTATATGTCATTATGACTGTTGGTTCTCAGGATGTTCTGTTTAAATTTTAAATAAAGTATATATAAGTTTGCTTTGTTCTTTTTATTCTAATGATATAAATATTTTTTTAAATATATTCTGCTTTAAAACTTTAAAGTAGGGGCTAGAGAGATGGCTTAGAGGTTAAGAGCACAGGCTGTTCTTCCAGAGAGATCCTGAGTTCAATTCCCAGCAACCACATGGTGGCTCACAACTATCTGTAATGAGATCTGGTGCCCTCTTCTGGCATCCAAACAGAACAGTGTATATATGATAAATAAATAAATCTTAAAAAAAAACCTTTAAAGTAAACATGGCAAACAGTAACATTGATTAAATCTGCTTTGTGGTTTGACCATTTACATGTTGTTCTGTATATAAGATATTTTATAAAGTACAGAGAGAAAAATGAAGCTTTATCTCTGTAAAAAGAAACAAGCTGGAGTGATGGCTCAGGAGGTGAGAGCACTTGCTGTGAAGCAAGAGGACTGAATTTCAGAGCCTCAGAATCCACATCCAGAAGCTAGGCATGATTATACATGCTTCTAAACCTTCTGCTGAGGAGTGGAGGCAGAACCCTAAGGAGCTTGCTGCTCAGCCAGCCTACCCAAACCACAAGCTTTAGTTCATTGAGATACCCTCTATCAAACAGATAAGTTGGGAGAGTACTCATTTATACACACGTATACATCAACACACACCCTCCCCCCATATCTGAGGGTTGGTAGGGTGCTCACCTTGCATACAGGAATCCTTCTGTTATCACCCAGTAAACTGAGTGTGGTATCAAACACTGTAGTCCTGGCACTCAAGAAATGGAAGCAAGAAGCTCAGAAATTCAAGGTCAGCCTTACCTACATAGAGATTTTTGAGGCTAGTTGTGGACACATGAGACCCTGTCTCTAAAACATAAAAATAAATAAAAAACATATCTGTACAGCCCTCTGAAGTTATATACTGCCCATTTGAGTTTCCTTTGTGTTCACTTCTTCCTTGTTCAGCTCCAGGGTTTGCCCCAAGTGTTTCATTTGACTTTATTTCTATTTTCTAATAAATAAGTTTCCATTTTTAGGACTGGAGACACTAAAGTACTTGACCACTGTTATTTGGTTCTTGTCTGCAGAACTGGACAGTACAGATGGTGCCAAGGTTTTTAGTAAGCAACCAGGCAGAATCCAGAGAGTGGCTCGAGGGTCAGGTGTATCAACAAGAGATGTCCAAGAACTTCTGACGCAGTATACCAAGTTTGCACAGATGGTAAAAAAGATGGGTGGTATCAAAGGACTTTTCAAAGGTAAGGGGAGAAAGTGCTTTACCACTTTTAAGAAACAAAATATTATTGGATAAATCGCTGCTGAATTTCATGTTGTTGGGCTTGGGGCTTAGCTCAGTGGTAGGGCCTGTCTTAGTCCCTGGGTTCCTGAAGAGAGACAATCTGAACTTAATGTTACAGTCAGGTGCCACCAAGATTTATCATGTAATACATGACTTACCTGTTTTTAGAATCAAGTTGGTAGACATTAATATTGAAAATGATTTTATTTCTATCAACATACTTTACTATAGAATATTTAGAGAATGTAAGAGTATTTAAAAAATGAACTGTTTTTCATTCCTCAGAGAATCCCAGAAATGCTACTGGAGACACAAGTTGATATACCTATTTTTCCATGTTGCCAAACACTCTTCAAAATATATTGATTAACAGGGTTGTCTATCACACGCTTATATTCCCAGCATCCTTGAGACAAGAGAAGTAGCAAAAGTATTGCCATATGATCACCTGTAATTCCTTACCTAGCTAGACCCAGTATCAGAATCCCCCACCCCGTCTGTCCGTCGTCCCCACTAAGTCCTATTTGAACAGTGCTGGTATCTTTCATGCTTCTTGTTAGATCCTGAACTGGCTTGTCTGCATTTGTGTCCTGGTCAGTTTCTAGGCAATTTCATGGAGTCAGTTTTGTCTTCTCTGATGAGAAGTAAAGTAGACACTAAGTAATTTTCTAAGGTAGTTTCTAGTTTGATTTTTCCTTTGTGCGTCCACTGATTGTGGTTTTGTTGGGATTCCCTTCTCCCTTGTTCAGTCTCTTGGTTTTTTTGTCCCTATTGTTCTTTAGTAATAACATCCTTGTTTTTCATCAGCAAAGACTGTCTCAGGTTTTTCATTTTGCTTTATTTATATTTTCTGATAAAATTCTGTTTCTAGGTCTAGAGGTGTAACTTAGAGGTGGAGTGCTTGGCTAGTGTGCTTGAGGCTCTGAGTTTAATTTCTAGCCCACCGCTCCTTCTCCAAAGTTTCAAGTGGGCACAGTGTCTGTAATCCCAGCATTTAGGAAGCAGGAGGATATCTTCAAGTTTAACATCAGTTAGGACTCCCTAGTAAGACCTTATCTCAAAAAACAAAACAAAGCTGGGCATGGTGGTGCATATTTTTGATCCCAGCACTCAGGAAGAACAGGCGAGCCAGGTTTATAACAGGCGAGTTCTGGGACAGCCAAAGCTACATAGAGAGACCACGTTTCAATCAATCAATCAAACAGAAAACATTTTAATGTAAGCAGTGCCTGTTTATTGTTTTTCTTTTAATTTGAGCTCCTTTATTCATGTAACTGAGTATTTTCTTGTACTCATTTTTTGTTTGATTGACTTTGTAGGACTGGGACTCAAACCCAGAATCCATGCTTGCCACGTAGGCACTGTACCACTCAGTTTCATCACCTGCTCAGATTTGGTTTCGTTTGTCTTTTTATTCCTGCTGGAATTTATTTTGCTATGTATAGTATAAAATAAAAGGGTATTGTTTTTCTGAAGAACTTAACTGATTATTCTAGCCCTATTTTGATTTAGTTTCTATAATATAAAAAATACTTAAGTTGAGCTATGCAGTAGTGGTGCTCACCTCCTGCATTCTAGGCAGGGTACCTAGAGCTCCAGCTACAGCCATATAGTTTTAAATTATTCATTTATTTTTGCTTTATGTACATTGGTGTTTGCCTGCATGTATATTTGTATGAAGTGTCATGCCCTAAACAAGAGTTACAGTTTTGAGCTGGGAATTGTGGTTGCTGGGAATTGAATCTGGGTCCTCTGGAAGAATAGCCAGTGCTCTTAACAGCTGAGCCATCTCTCCAGTCCTGCCACAGCCATAGTTTTAATTTTAAATTAGTTTTTAATGAAGTAACTTTTGGCAAGCAAACACTACATAGATAGCCATTTCAAGTACCACACATTAATGAAGCTTTGTGTCTCTGTGTTATTTGGTCCTTTGGAATTCCCCATTCCCCGAGCACACACATGCACAGACAAAGCTGCCTCTCTGTGTCCTCTGGGTCTTCCTTGTGGAGGTCCTCCCAGTCCTGCCTCACCAGGGGCCCTGGCAGGGGTCTGCCTAGTTTTGTTGGTTGTTGTATGTGGTGGGGCCCTTGGGGTCAGAAGGGAAGGTGTGGGCTCCACCTCATGGTGCTGTTAAGCAGTCCCACTGCCCCTGTCCATAACCACTCACTGCAGTTCTGCTTCTTGGTTCTTCACAATTGTAGCTAAAGATAACAGGGAAAATCATAGCTTTAAGAAAATACTAGCATGCCTTTAATCCCAGCACTCGGGAGGCAGAGGCAGGTGGGTCTCTACGTGGCTTACATAGTGAATTCCAGTTTAGCCAGGGCTAATGCAGTAAAAACAATGAAAAGCCCTTCATATGATCCTTTATATAGACTTTCTTGTGTTTTTCCTCAGAAACATACAATTGAGAAAAATATTAGTTAACTGTATGTGATATTCTAATGAAAATTTTCTGTTTTATCAGGTGGTGATATGTCTAAGAATGTGAGTCAGTCACAGATGGCAAAATTGAATCAGCAAATGGCCAAAATGATGGATCCACGAGTTCTTCATCACATGGGTAAATACAAAAAACTTGGTCAATTGTAGCATGCAGTTAATTTATGGAGTTGTAGTTTAATGATAAGACTTTCTAGTGATATCTGAAAACCTGTTTAAAAGGTAAGTGGTGGAAGGAGAAGACCATCTGAATCCTGACTGGCTAATCATTCTAGATAAGCAGAAAATGTTTTGAAGAGCTTTGTGTCTCCGTGTGTCTCTGTGTCTGGTGTATATGATGTGAGTGTCTGCTCATGCTGCATTGCTCTCATGGAGATCAAAGAACAAACTTCCAAGTCAGTCCCTGCCTTCTGCCCTGCTGGAGCAGTATCTTGTTGTCTTTGCTGCTACATGTGAATAGCCCAGGCAAGTGGACTTAAGCCTTTATCTTTGTTGAGCATTGAGATTATAGATGCACAATGCAGTAGCTCTAGCGCTGTCCCCTGGCTCAGCTGTGTGTTCAGATTCAGGTCCTCATGCTCATGTAGCTTGCTACCTCAGGAGCCATCTGCCAAGCCCAATTGATTTTCTAGTTTTTAAAACTTATTTTATCTTGTTTACTTATCTTGGGATTTGAGGAGGGGTTTGAAATAGTATCTCACTATGTAGTTCTGGCTGCCCTGGAAGTTGATATGAAAGCCATGCTGGCCTTCACCTCAAAGAGATCTGTCTGTCTTTACTTCCCAAGGGCTGGGATTAAAGGTTGTGCCACCATGTCTGGCCTATTGGGTAGGGGGGGGCGCTGTTTTGCTTTGTCTGTGTGGAGATGGAATTTCAGGCAGGCCACACTGGCTGGGTCCTATCGCACAGCCCAGCTTGGGCTTGAGCATCTGACTTCCTGCCTCTCTCCCAAGTGCTGGGCTTCCAGGTGGAGTCCTGGAGATTGAGCCTGACCTCATGGACACTGGGCAGGCACTCTCCCACTGAGTTGCCTCTCAGCCCTACTCATCTGTCCTTAATACTTCTTCCACTGACCTTTCCCCTGTCTTAGGTGGGTGTTTTTAGTTATAGAACTTTTGAAATCACACATTTTTGAACTCCATTTTCACTATGTAGTCTCTGAAAAGTCCCTAAAACTTTGTAAACTTCACTTTCCTTTTCTATAGAAAGGAAATTTTATAGAGATTTTAGATAATGGCTCCTCAGGAGACTGTGACAAATAAATGAGCTGATAATATATGTGAAAGCCTTTAGTATAGTTCTGGTCATATAGTAAGTGCTTAACAAACACAGCCCCATCCCATATTTTCATTACAAGAAGACTTAGTCTTGTCATAGAAAATGTTCTGTTTAGAGTTCTTGATTGTAGACAGGAACTATTCTAAAATCTTTTCATGTTTTACCTTATTCCTCATGATAACTTCATGAAGCACATTTTTCATTTTATTTTTTAGATAAAAATAAAGCTAATAACACACATTTCAATTTGGTATGTTTTTAAAGGCTACTCACTGAATTGCTGTCAAAACACTTTTTTATAAATTAAAGTACTTGTTAGGCAAAAGCAGTGACTACCTCAGAGTCCACGTGGTAATGACCTGACCTGTTTTACTCTTCTCCCTCTAGGTGGCATGGCCGGACTTCAGTCAATGATGAGGCAGTTTCAGCAAGGTGCTGCTGGCAATATGAAAGGCATGATGGGCTTCAATAACATGTAAAGAAGATGCCTTCGTATGAGCTGCCGTGGCGATGGTGTCACTGCAAGTGGGGAGAAGACTCTTCTTGCCTGTCTTGCCCTCCTTTTGTCTCTCCTTTTCCTTTTGTCTTCCTCCTCTTCTGACATGAGGGAGGAGTGGCCGGTGTTTTCCAGAAGTCATCATATTTCTGCTTTAAATCTTCTGTTACTTTCACCGTCATAACACTTCTTAAGTTAAACAAATCATGATGTAAAATTTTAGTACATAAAGGTTTTTAATTGTCTCAAAAGCCAAGCATTGCATTTATAAACAGTCCCGATCAGTAAATTACATGATATTGAAGAAAAGTGCTGCAAAATAAACTTCAAGTGATAAGTTAAAGGGTGTTAACTTTCTTTATGGTTTAATGTGGTCAATGTAACCCTAGAAATTAGACAGAGCTAGTGGGTACATTTAAAATAAACTTCAAGTGATAAGTTAAAGGGTGTTAACTTTCTTTATGGTTTAATGTGGTCAATGTAACCCTAGAAATTAGACAGAGCTAGTGGGTACATTTAAAATAAACTTCAAGTGATAAGTTAAAGGGTGTTAACTTTCTTTATGGTTTAATGTGGTCAATGTAACCCTAGAAATTAGACAGAGCTAGTGGGTACATTTAAAATAAACTTCAAGTGATAAGTTAAAGGGTGTTAACTTTCTTTATAGTTTAATGTGGTCAATGTAACCCCCTAGAAATTTAAAGGAGATATGGTAGAATAATCTGATCATGAATATTAGGAAATTTTATTTATTTTAGAATAAAATAACTTTATTATAAAAAAAACCCTCAGCTTTGCTATTTACATTGAAATCAAAAGTTTGATTATAGTTCATAATGTGTGATGTTTGTATCCAACTTAAATGTTTTACGTGTTTTGGGAGTTCCATAGTCCTTGATTGTTTTTAAAGCCATTTCTATGTTTCTCACATACTATTTAAAAATTATGTTTTGATAATAGATAATACATAAATTTGCTGGTGGGAAATTAATAATTAAATTATTAGGCTGTATAGTATTGTATGTTAAAAACAATAAGACCACGATAAAGTTGGTTGGGTTACTGGTAACTATTGTTACATGTATCTCCATGTGGGTGCACTTATGCTGTAGCACATGTGTGGAGGTTAGAAGACAACCTTTTTTTTTTTTTGTGAGACAGGTCTCACTATGTATCTCTGGCTGTGCTGGAACTTATTCTGTAGACCAGGCTTGGCCTCAAACTTGCATAGATCCACCTGCCTCTGCCTCCTGAGTGCTGGGATTAAAGGTTTGCAGGTGTGCACCACACTGGGCCTCAGACAACAACTTGGCAGAAGTCAGTTGTCATTTCACTGTGTGAGTCTAGAGATTGAACTCAGATCAATCACACTTGGCACCAAGTGTCTTTCCCCACGTGTCATAGGTCACAGCTGTTAAAACAGAAACCCCAAAAACTGTGTGTGTGTGTGTGGTGTGGTGTGTGCTCGAGTATGTGTTCAAGTTCATGCATGCCCATGCCAGGGTCCCTCAGGTGCTAGTCTTTGCCTTCTGCGTTGTTTAAGACAGGGTCTCTTGTTTTTTCTGGATAGCCAGCTTAGTTGGCTTTCTGGGGATTCTCTAGTTTCACCTCCCATCTTGCTGTAGAAGTGCTGGAACTACATTGCTACTGTTGTAATTTAAGAAAATCAGATCTCGAGAGAAAGATGACGTGTGACAGGGTTTAAGCAGAGGAGCTTTTTATTAGGGAAAGACATCATAAAAAGGAGAAAGGGAACGGGGCATACCAGCCTCCGGAGACAGGAGCACCAGGAGAGAGGAGAAAGGAAAGGGAGAGAGAGGGGGAGGGAGGGTGGAAGAGGGGAGGGGAGAGAAGAGCAGACAGAGGGAGAGAAAGACAGAAGGATGGGAGGTGGGCAGGGCCCTTTTAAAGGGGAACACAGTGAATATGCACAGGAGGTGCTCTTAGCAGCTGCAGCTGAGGGCCTATCCTGTCAGAATCCCAAGGACAGGCCAGTATAGATGTTTGAACACTAACAGCTGCCCTGTCTACCTTTGGCTGGTTTTAGGAGAAATGCTGAGGCTAGTCTGGAACACAGTGACCAGTCTCCTGCTTCGGCCTCCTAAATGCCATAATTACAGTAAATTGCTTTTTTTTTTTTTTTTTTTTTTCTCGAGACAGGGCTTCTCTGTATTGTTTTGGAGGCTGTCCTGGAACTTGCTCTGTAGACCAGGCTTGCCTCGAACCCACAGAAATCCGCCTGCCTCTTCCGAGTGTTGGGATTAAAGGAGTAAATTGCCATTCTTGAAAAGTGTTCGCATGAAGAATGCAGTTTGGCTGGGCATGGTGGTGCATAGGGGGCTGAGACAGGAAGACCATGAGTAGTTGGAAGCCAACCCAAGTTATATAGACCCTGTCTCAAAAACCAAAAGTGAAACAGAATGCAACTGATTCTGTGTTTTGCTTAGGTAGAGATATTATAGCCAATAATTATTGTTGAGTAAAGGACTAGGATTTCTACTGGGCACTGTATCCTGGAAAAATTACATAGTTTGTGTTCTGCAGACTTGACATAGCAAGGTGTAGCTATAGAAATCTGAAACTAGAGAAAATGCTAATTAAACTACACACTACCTTTTCTGGGTATTTTGTTTGGACTAAATAAAGGTAAATGAGGTGAACTTTTAACCATAACATCCTGAGTGCCTTCTGCATGGGTTATGCTATTTTTATGTCTGATTTGAATTTATTTCTCAAAAAACGAAACAGTGGCAAAAAGGGCAGGTAAAGATCAGGATGCCCCTGTGTCAGCATATTAATAAAGGTTCTCTAGAGTCATATATGACATATGGTTTATTGGAATGACTTACAGGCTTCAGCCCTACAATGACTAACTGTGAATGGAAGGTCCAAGAATCTAGTAGTTGCTCTGTCTCACCAGGCTGGGTGTGTCTCAGCTGGCCATTTTCTGTATGGAACTATGAAGAAGTAGGATCCAGTGCCAATAGTCTACAACTCAGGATTTGGATTGATTGTTGTTTTTTGTAATGGTGTCTATTCGTTGTGTAGAGTGAAGCCTTTTCCTCCGCCAGCCCCTTGGGCTCTGCCACAGTTGCAGTCCCCAAATAACACACAAGACGCTGTATTAATTATGAAGCTGTTTGCTTGATTTCTTACTGGCTATCTCTGAACTAAGTATTTACTCCATAGTTGTTAATCTAAGTATTTCTTTTACCGGAGAAAGGGTCTGGACTTCTTACCTCTATGGTGGCTACATGGTGACTCCCTGTGTTTCTCTCTCCCAGAGTCCTCCTCGACTCCTAGTTCCACCTATCTTGCTTCCCTATTGGACAACAGTGCTTTATTCAACAACCAATAAGAGACAGATTTCAGAATGACATCTCCCATCAATGTTGCAAGAAGTTTCTTTGATGGGACTGTCTTTTGCCTGTGGGTGCAGGACAAAGATTTAGAATGTAGTTAGGAGTTACGTTGGTTTAGTAAATTGCCAGTTGTAAGTTCTCAGAGATCTGTGACTTCACTAGCTCCTGGGTAGTTGGCTAGGTTTCCAGTGTCAGGCATAGTCTCCAGTCCAATCAGAGAACTGTTGGTTACCACCAAGGTATGTGTGCCACACACGGCCCATGTAAAAGGGGAGAAAGGCCTGAAAGCAGGAACAGCTGAGAATTCACATCTTAGTCTGCAAGTAAGAGGCAGAAAGACACTGACGACGAGAAGAGGCTTTTGCAACCTCAAAGCCTACCTCTGGAGACACATCTCCTCTAACAAGGCCTTCCTCAACAGTCCTGCCAACAGACCAGGTTTTGAAGCTTATGAGCCTGTGGGGACCATTCTCCATCAAAACACAACAGAGCCAAACCCAGGTAGGTCTTACTGAAGAGCAGTAAGTCCCCTTAACTATTCTCCAGGCCCCAAATTCCTTAAAAAACTAAATTCCAATTATGGTGTAGACCATTACAGTATTTTATCAGATGTCATCTTAATGTCCTCTGCTTTGGGATTGAAAGTTACTGGTGCGGTTAATTTGCATCTCAGTTGCTAAGAAATTAGTTTAAACTTTACCTCTAGATGAGTTGTTTAGCCTGTGCATGTTATTGTAGTAGTTAGGTGTTGTATGCACATGTTATATGCTAATTTCTCCCAGTGTTTTACAAGGACGAAGTGCTTACTGCTGAGTGCCTGCTCACCTATGGGCTTAAGCTAATTCCCTGCACTGACTTATGTTTGTACACTGTGTGAAGATCATATTTCTGTGGTTGGTTTAGTAAAGAGCTGAATGGCCAATAGCTAGGCAGGTTAAGTGGGAGATTATTGAGGCTCAGGGGAGATGCCAACTAAGATATGGAGGGAGTCCAACATATAGAATGAAAGAAAGGTAAAAAGCTACATAGTAAAACGTAGATTAATAGAAATGGGTTAGTTTAAATTCTAGGAGCTAGTTAGGAACCTAGCTATAGGCTGAGCTTTCATAATTAATAAGTCTCTGGGTTGTTATTTGAGAACTGGCAGAACAAGAAAGATTGTTACACGGTAGCAGAGTGTTGATATATAGGTGACTTTATGCTTTTAGAGTGAAACTATACCTTAAAAGGCAGTATAATTCTTAATATTTTATTAATGTGAGCCTATCATGTAAATTCCTTTGGACATTCTTTTTTCTTTTTTGAAACAGGGCCTCACTATGTATATGTTATCTTGGCTGCCATTGAATGCACTGTGTAGATCAGATTGGCCTTGAACTCACAGAGATCTTTCTGATTCTGCCTCCTTAGTTCTGGAATTAAAGGTGTGCAGCACTGTGCCCAGCTGATATGTATATCTTATATTTGACAACTCTCATTTCTTTTCCCCTAGTTTAGCCTCACTTTGCTTAAGAGACTCTTGTTAGCCTAAAACAATGAATTTATCAATACTGGCTGGATCATAAATGTTTTTTTTTAAAAGATAAGAAATTGTATATAGTAGTGCTGCTAAGATATGATTGAGGTGTGCCTGGCATTAAGAAATGCCCAAAGTGGCGGGGTGGTGGAGGCGCATACCTTTAATCCCAGCACTTGGGAGGCAGAGGCAGACAGGTCTCTGAGTTAAAGGCCAGACTGGTCTACAGAGTGAGTTCAGAACAGGCTCTAAAGCTACAGAGAAACTGTCTCAGAAAACCAAAAATAAATAAATAAAAATAAGAAAGAATGAAATGCCCAAGTAAACACAAACATGCCCTGTAGACACAACACCATTGTACTGCTTTCAAGAAACAGAGCACTCAGGAAAATGAAGCTTGGGAATATGCTAAACTCTGAGCAAGGGAATGAAGAAAGGAACAGAAGCAACAGGAACAGATCGCCA